CCCTCCCTCCCCCGCGTCGTCGCCTCTTCCTGAAACCCCCGCCACCGTCTCGTTCCCCCTCCCTCCCCCGTGTCGTCGCCTCTTCCTGAAACCCCCGCCACCGTCTCGTTCCCCCTCCCTCCCCCGCGTCGTCGCCTCGTCCTGAAACCCCCGCCACCGTCTCGTTCCCCCCCCCCCCCTCCAAACCACTCAATCTTTCGAGTCCTCTTGTTGCCGACGCCTCTCTCAGCTGAATCATGTCACAGAGGACTCCTCGGAGGGATGGGGTTAGCTATTGCGCCGACTCGGGTTCGGCAAGCACCAATTCAGTTCTCTGCAAGCACAATGTACCAGCTGTGAAAAAAATTTCGGGGACTGAGGGGAACCCATGAAGGCAATTTTATGGTTGTTCTTATTGGATGGTGAGTTGTGTCTGATTTCGATTGCACATGGATTGTTTTTATATCGTTGTTAGCTAAGTGTTGGAGTTGTGGCAGGAACCAAGAAAAAATTGCAAAATTTTTAGGTGGGTGGATGCTAATGAGGGTGAATCAGAGGCACGAATTAATGAGATGGACAGTTCGATGCTTAGGTTGGAGGAGAGTTTACGGCTGGCCGAGAGTTTAATGAGCAGAAACAAAAACTGGACATGCTCGTGCATTGTGTCCTTCACCTTGACATTTAGTGCACCGGATCAATGAACCTCTCCTAGTAACTTCCTCACCAATGCCTCCTCTTTGAGCTCTTGTTTCTAACTCCACAGCAGCCTTCCTTCTATTCTTCTTGGGTCGACCAGGCATTGCCCTCTGCTTGGGCGGGTATACATCAAATCCCGAAGCTTCAGGCCAAGCCTGTCGACCATCAACACAAGGCATGCCAACCTTGTATGCAAAAGAAACATGATATGCATGGTACACCGGATGCACATAATCAGCTGGCTCTTTCCTCAAGTGACTGATGGCAGAGACAGCATGACAGCATGGCAAGCCACTTAGTTGCCAATACCCACACGTGCACTCTCGTGTATTAAGGTTGACTATGAATCCTTCACTTCCAATCTTCACTTCACACTTATCATTCAATGCATGTCTTGGTACACAGTATCTAGCATACTCTTTCTCTTTCTCTAACCGTTTTCTAATTCGAGGGCATAACAGATCAGTAGTATCAACAAGCATCTTGTACTTGATAGCCACTCTTTCCATCATATATCCCCTAATTCCCTCTAGCATGTCAATAATTCTAAGGCCTCTATACTTGACGATACTTCCATTCCATGTCTCACATATGTTACTCTCTACAGAGTCACATTTAGGGATGGTAGATAAGAAAGCTCGACAGAAACGTTTAGGTTCAGCATCCATAAAGTCTTTATAGGGTGTAGGACCATCTCCATTACCTTCTATACTTTCCATCTGAGAAGTAGCCTTCCTCCAGGCAACAATATTGCTTGCATACACAGCTGTCCAGAATAACTTTCTGATCTGATCAGTTTTATTCTTCGCCTTCCAATTGGCATAAACATGCCTCGCGCATTTGCGATGCTCAGCCTCGGGAAGAAGCTGGTGTATAGCTTCTACCAATCCCTACACTCAAACGATAAGCATGGTTAGTATCAAACCACATCCAAGTGTATTTTAAGTAAAACTAGACACTAAGATTGTATATATTTTACCTTCTGTTGATCAGAAATGACCGTCCACCTCCTGCCGTCCAGCATCCCCAATTCTTCAGATAAGATCCGGACAAACCACATCCAAGAATCAGTATTTTCCCCCTCCACTACGGCCCATGCTATTGGGAACATTTGATTATTCCCATCTTTTCCAACTGCAGACAAGAGCATTCCCTTAACCTCGCCCTTTAGAAAACAACCATCCAGACCAAACATCGGTCGACACCCCTCTAAAAATCCATTCTTCAGATTGGAGAAACCGACGTAAAACCTCTTGAAGAAACACTTATCACCATCTGGATGTGGTTCTACCTCCAGCATGAAACGCCCTTCTCGATCTCTCTTCATCAACTCAGCAACATAGGTTCTTAGCCTCTTGTTCTCGTCGACCAAAGAGCCACTCAACAGCTTAATGGCTTCGACTTTTGCCCGGTAACAAGAGTGAGGTAGCCCAACCTTCCTTATCATAAAGCACTTATCCTTCCTAAACCAGCTAGCATACAACTTCCACTTGCAATTAACATCCTTGCACTTCACTTCCCTTCTTGTAGGGTTGCTCCGGACCCACCTTAGACCTGCCCCAGCTGCTACTGCATGCTTCACAACCGCCTCCTTAAACTGTGATGCCCCATCAAACTTCATTCGACAGACAAACTGAAGTGTCTTGTGATCACAGTTAGGATCATATCGAGGTGCATCATCATAAAGCTCACCACCCTCCTCATCTGACAGGTTGCCTCTTACATGGAGAGAGTCTTCAGACAACCTGTAGCTCGAATGTTGCGAGTCTTCCCCTCCTGCTTGCTGAGGTGATTGAGGATTAGGGTGGGAAGCCTCTTCATTACCAGGACCTTCTACAACCTCCTCTACATTCACAGCTCTATATCCCTCCTCTTCGCCATCATCAGAATCCTCTTCGTCATCATCAGAATCCTCTTCTTCGAAAGCCTCCAGCTGTTCCACCTCTTCCCCATCAACAACCACCCTTGCCTTCACCTTCCTCCTCCTTGTCTCTCCATATTCTCGAAGATTAGTCCTAGCTTCGTGGTACTCGTCATCTGAAGTAAGGGCATCCTCAGAGTCATATACATGGAAGATATCCTGTGCAACAGATGCAGCTGTCCCTGCCTCGTAGGCTGCTGAAAGTGATGGTTCTCCATGGCCAGGCTGGTTTGGATCATTCTCGCCTACATTCTCGTCCCAAGAATCTGCCATCTGTTTAAAAACCGTCATTTAGGTCATTAGTTGCTATTTCTTAACTTAACCTTGCTTAGGGTTCGCATTAAACCTAGTAAACAAAGCAAATACAGTCAACATGTCTATTACTCACTAATAAACAACTCACATACAGACAACTTGACATTAAAGAATTCGGACAGAATTCACTCATTTCAACATAATGGACAATATAGATTCAAAACCAACATATAGTACAATGACCATTGTATCCAACACCGTGAGGTTCTTACCTTTTGCCTCAGGGTCAATTTCGTGACAAACAGCAGAAAAGTGGTCCCTTCCAACAAATGTTCTGTTGCTTTCCAACCTTTAAAGCTCCTTACACCTATAAAAGCATACCAGATGCTCACTTTAGAATCCATTACACAGTTTATAACATATCCAGAGCTCATGAGATTGACCCAACTCACCACAACTTGACGAGACGAAAATTTGAAGTGTCGACAATGGGATTAGGGTTAGGGGTTTTCGGATTCAAGCCGCCTCGTAATACTGGGTTGGTCGGGTTCGATGTTGCCTTCTTCGCCTGATTCAGGAGTGGATTAGGGTTCGTTGTCGTCGTTGCAACTGGTCGAGGGGTGCGATGCTTCAGTTCTCTACTCGCCAGCCCGGATGATGCATGCCACAGTCGACGCTCGAACAGAGATGAAGGGTCGGAACAACGAACGGGATAGGTGGGTGAATTGAGGGGTGGGTTCTGCTTCTCAATCCACCATCGCCGTCGCCGTTGATCGGTAGAACTGGTGGAGGTTCGTCTGTAGAAGGAGAAGGAGAAGAGAGGATATCGGGTGGGTGGGTGAAAAGGTAGATGGAAATGGTAATTGGTAAAGTGACGATCGAAAAAGGGAAAGTGAGTTTTTGTTTCGTTTTTTATTTTTTAATTTTAAATAATGATTTCCATAATCCACCTGGCATGTTACATGGCCGAAAAATTCCAACTTAGCCAATAACCTTCTATCCAGTCAACATCCGTTACTTTGCCGTTAATTTTATGGACGGAATGGCTAGATCTGTGTATTTTTTAAAATGTGGCTATTGTTGTCACAACTCGAATAGTTATGGCTATGCGAGTGTATTAAGCCCACAATTAACCAACAATACTCTAATAATTAATCACTAAATCATAAACTACTCACATTTTCGATCCCGAAAATAGATAGTACAGCCAATACGGTGCAGTACATATTGGTGTACAAATTACAATATAGTCAAGGAAAACGAAATTGCATTGCTGTACTAGCGTGCACGTCATAACAATGATGCAACCCACAAATCGTAACCAATGTAAAACAGATGGATGGGCAATGTACTCTTTTCCTTTTTTTAATCTTTTTTTGTCGACATGGTGCGTGAGTCTCGTTGTCTTCTTTCTTACGGTCTCGTCTCGCTCGGGAATCAGCAAATCAGGGGAGCGACTTCCTGGAAAGAACAAGAGAAGAAGAAGACTCTGCTCAATCACCCTCCCTGCAATAACAACTGGGGGAGACAAGAAGAATTACCTGTTCAGAAAGCAGCAGGAAGCCACTCTCAAACTTCCGAAACATCCCAGCAATCGCAAATCCTTGGATTCACAGCCGCTGAAGCAACCAAGCAGCAGCAGCTGCTGCAACTGCCCATTTCTTAGGTTAGTTAGTTCTATGAGGTATGAAAATTCGATTCCAGTTTCGGCGATAAAAGCACCAAACTTTCCTGACATTGACTCAGATTTATCCCTCTTTTAGGTTTTGGGTCGTCTCTATCTTCCTCTTTGCTTTCCATGTCATGCTTACACATTCCCCACTTGAGTTCCTTATCAGCTGAATTCCTTGACTTTCTTCCTCCTATCTTAGCAACTTCTGCAATAGCGAGGTAGCAACTGTCCATAAATGGCTGCCCTGTCTTGTTCTTTCTTTAACTATGAAAAAGCCAAAGTCTTCTAGGAAGGTAGAGTCAACTTTACACAATTACTTAACGATGAAATTTCCTGGTAAAGCCAACAAATTCTTTCTTTAGGACTGTTGGTATGGATGAGAGGATATAAGTATGACCTAACCACCCTAGTTTTAGCAGTCAGATACTTAGATCTTTACTTCAAATTTGTGTCACCCTCTGCGAAAGAGAAGTAGCAATGGCAGCTTCATTCGTGGGTGGGGCAGCTCTTGGAGCTGTGTTAGGGGAACTCTTGAGAGCGGTTGTGAAGGTCCAGAGAAAGACCCTTATGTTCAAACGTATTCTAGAGCGCCTGGAATCCACTCTAGAAGACATTATCCCTACAGTTCAAAAGATGGAAGAGATGGACAAAGTACTGGATCGAAACAATGGAGAAGTTGGGAAGTTGATAAAAGTGATTCAGAGAGGGAAAAAACTTGTTCTTGAGTGTTCTACGATCAGGTGGTGGTATGCTTGCTGGAGAAGGCCAAGGTATGCGGACAAGCTTCTTGGACTGGAGAAGTCACTCAAGGCGTTCTGCCAGATTGTTCTCCAGGTCGAGCAGTCGAGGGACACAAAAGAGACATTGTTGGAAGTCAAAGATATGCACCAAAAAGTTAAGCGCCTGATTCTGAATGGAAAGAGTGGTGGTATTATCAACATGCCTGCTGTTTTGAGTGGCTTTCATGTCCCTGAGGCAGTTGGCAACCCTGTTGGATTGGAGGTTCCCTTGGGGGAACTGAAGATGGAAGTTTTGAAGGATGAAGCATCCTTGGTCATTCTGTCTGCTCCTCCTGGTTGTGGGAAGACTACGTTGGCTAAACTTTTCTGCAATGATGAGGAAGTTCAAGGTACCATTTAATACTTATTGTTGTTTTATTTGTGTGTTTGTCGTTTCAACAAACATAATCATATGTTTTGATATTTGATAAATACGTATTTGTCTCTCTGTTAATAAATCGGTCCAACCAATTATTGGTTAAGGTAGATCCATTCTTTAATAAGTACAACTTTGATGCTCGGATGTCGTGTGTGCGGAAACTTCATGCTCTGACCCTTAATTCAACTTTCATATTCCTAATATCCTCTCTTTTTCTAAGATAATAAGGTATAAAATATGTATGTCCTACATATGTGCCATTTGAGGCATCATACCACACCAATAATAGATGTCAACCAAAGCTTCAGCTGAAGAAATGAATAACCGACATAATGAACGAGTTCGAGTCCTAATGGATAGTCATGTGTCTTAGAGTGCCGCTCATCCTATGTCTGAAATGCAAGTTTGATGTTGATTTAAGAATATTTTCAAATCGTTAATGTGTCTTTATGTTGAATGCTGTGCAGACATATTCAAGGGGAATATCTTCTTCGTCATTTTGTCAAGGAAACCTACAATTGAAGGCATTGTTCAGAGACTGTTTCAGCATCACGGTTATAAAGTTCCGGACTTCCGAAGCGAAGAAGATGCAGTGTTGCACGTGGAAAAATTCCTGAAGAACATAGGGCCTGATCCTATTTTGTTAGTTCTGGATGACGTTTGGCCAGATTCAGCTTCGCTTCTTGACAATTTTCAGTTTCGGATTCCTAGTTACAAGATATTGGTAACATCCAGATCAGTATTTCCTCGATATGGCTCAACTTACAAGCTGAGTCCGTTGAACTATAGCAATTCCAGGATGCTTTTCTGCAACTCAGCATTCCTTCCGGGCCAAGACTCTGTTATTCCTGATGAAGTTGTGAATCGGATCGTCAAAGGATGTAAAGGATTCCCATTAGCCCTTAAAGTTGTTGGCAGATCACTTTGTGGAGAGCCAGTTGATATCTGGAAAAAGAGAGAATCGGAATTATCAAAAGGTGGTTCCATTCTCGAGTACAGTGATCTGCTCTTCTGTCTTCAAAGAAGTCTAGATGCATTAGACAACACTCCCATTATCAAGGAATGTTTCAAAGACTTGGCTTCATTCCCTGAAGACCATTTGATTCCTGCAACTGCCTTGATTGATATGTGGGCTGAACTGTATAAACTCGATGACGATGGCCTCCAAGCTGTTTCCAATCTCCATGAACTCTCATCAAGAAACCTGGCTGATCTTGTAGTAACAAGGGCCGACTCAAATGGCTACAATCAGCACTTTTTGACACATCATGATCTTCTCAGAGAGCTAGCTATCCACCAGACTAACTTGGAGACCTTTGAACAAAGGGAAAGACTCATTCTTGAGGTAACTGGAAATGATGTTCCTGACTGGTGGGTGGAACAAAAGCAGCTTAGGTTTCACAGCCGTCTCATGTCTATCACCACAGGTTAGCTTCTTTGATCTTTTACTTGCATTCCCATGGCCTGGCGTCTTTTCTTTACGATGAAACTTATAGTTGAAGGAACTGGAACTTTAAATGAAAGGAGAATGATTTGAATTTCTAATTACGAATCAGCTAGTTGACATAAGTTGAAGTCTCCATTTGATCAAACAATCAACTTCGGAATCAAATACTGTCCAATTTCTATTATCTACCTCTAAAATCTAATTTAAAATGGATTTGCACTCCACCTTACTTCATCTTTTCTATACTTCCAATTTTACCTTTTCCTTCTAATAAATCCAAAACCATGTAGGGCCATTATAGTCAATATACACACGACTTACATTTAATGAGCTTCACTATTTGCTTCAATTAACAACTTCTCCAATAAGCACCCACTTAATTTCGCAGCTTGTTCTGTTAAAAACTTGTTTTGCCCTCTTAATAACATTGTGGTTGATAATATTTTGCAGATGAAAGGTTCTCAAGAACCTGGTGCAACATCCAAGCACCAAATGTTGAAGTATTAGTGTTGAATTTTCGGACGAGAAGCTACACATTACCCGAGTTCATAACAGGAATGGATAACCTAAAGGCTTTAGTTATCACGAATCACGGCATTCTCCCAGCTGAACTGACAAACTTTCCACTTCTTGGTTCTCTTTCCAACCTGAAGAAGATCAGGCTAGAGAAAGTCTCAGTTCCATCATGTGGGTTCACGTCGACACGGTTCGAGAAGCTTGAGAAGATAAGTTTGGTCCTTTGCCATATTGGCCAGGCTTTGACTTCCTCATCCAACCTTGTTATATCAGAAGCACTTCCAAATCTGATGGAGATCAACATTGACTACTGCAACGATCTGGTAGAGTTGCCACCGGAGATCGGTCAGCTTGCCGAGATGAAAAGGCTAAGAATCACTAATTGCCACAACTTGACTGCACTGCCTAGAGAAATCGGCGGGCTGGTGAATTTAGAGGAATTGAGAATTAGTTCTTGCATAGAAATTTCTGAGCTGCCTGATTCAATTGGAAACCTTCACAAACTGAGCAGCCTGGATATCTCGGAATGTGCAGATATCAAAAGACTGCCTGAACAGATTAGGGAGCTGCAGAATCTACGGAGGATTCAGATGATGGGTTGCTCAAAAGACTTCGAGTTGCCAGAGTCGATCTTGAATCTCGAGCATCTTGAGGAAGTGAAGTGTGATGAAGAAACTGCAGGTGTATGGCAACCTTTTGTCGGTTTTCTTGAGAATTTGACCATTAAGGTTAATAAAGAAGACATAAATTTGAACTGGCTCAATGGTGGTCGTTTCTGATTTTGTCAAGCCAAAAAAAGTTCCCCTCAAATTGTGTCGCAAATCCACTTCCCCTTGCCCTTGAGCAACTGATATATTAATAGATGAGAGTAGCAAGTTACCCCCAATCACTATTCAGTTAGGGGTAAACTGCCGTGCATGCATCCACACGGAACAATTCCGTGGTTGCTTTCGTTGATGAGTTATATTGCTGCCCAATTACTTCTGGCAATTGATGTTCTTGAAGGGCAGCTCCCCAAGTTTAAGGCTCATATGCCTATTGAGTGTGTGTTAAGTGATAAAGCAAGTTACTTAGATCCCTGTTCATTTGAGGCTATACTATGGCATATGTCTATTGATTGTTTCTAAGGAGTTTATCAGGCGATGGGCTGCCCATCGATTTACCTACGACCTCCTTTAATCTCCGAGGCAATGAAATATAGAGCAGTGAATGAACTTAAAAATGGTTCTGATTTCCAGGATGAGCTATTGCAATGGATGCCTAAGAATCTCTTATTTCCTTGAAGTTGAGCTTTGAGCTTTTCACATCCAGAATCTTTTCTTTTCTTCCCCCTCTGGCCTTTAATCTGTAACAGTGGGAGTAATCTCTTGTAGTATGGACGTGTCAAATGTCTCCAAGCATCAGATTCTACTTGGAAAGAACATTGCTGTAACATCACAAGTAAAGAAAGATTCCCAAAGCTTAGAAAAGAATCCAGGTAACCAGTTCCTCTGCTGATTCGTTACCAACCTTTTTTATGTGGATGGAAATATCACCTTTTTCCTCTTCCAAACCTGAGAACTAAGACGGGTGGGCAAAGGGTTGAATTTCTTGTATTTGATCTCCTTTCTCCATAGGGAATTGAGCTATGGAAGAATCGCTTCAAAACGCTTTCGTCGGAGCTGTGATGGGAGAGCTGTTGGGAGCAGTTCTGGATGCCCAAAGAAAGACAGCAGAGTTCAGAACTACTCTGCAACGCATCGAAACCACTCTCAGAACCATAATCCCTTTGGTTCAGGAGATCGAGGAGCTGAATGAGAAGCTGGAGAGGAAGAAGGAAGAGACTGCACCATTGATGGAAGAGATCACCAGAGGCAAAGACCTCGTCGTTAAGTGTTCGAGACTTCGGTGGTACACCTGCTGGAAGAAGCCGGGTTACAAAGACAAATTGGACAGCCTGGAAGGCTCCCTGCAGAAGTTCTGCAAGATCATTCTGAAGCTCCAGCGGGCGCGGGACACTAAGGAAGCCCTGGTAGAAATGAAGAATGTTCAACTGATTCTGGATGGAAAGTCTAGTGGGATAGTAACTGGTCTGAAAGGGTATTTCGTTCCCCAATCTATTCCGAATCCTGTTGGATTTCAGGTTCCATTGAAGGAACTGAAGCTGGAGCTTTTCAAGGACGAGACTTCTCTGCTTGTTTTGTCTGGGCCTCCTGGCTGTGGGAAGACCACTCTGGCTACTCTCTTCTGCCATGACAAAGATGTTCAAGGTAAAACTGCTACATCAATAATTGATTTTGTTCATGTCAGGCCACGGTTCGACTGTGGTTAACGGTTTTTTGTTGCAGAGAGATTTGGGGACAACATCTTCTTCATCGTTGTGTCGGGTAGACAAACGATGGAGGGCGTCGTCCAGAGACTGCTCCAGCTCAAGGGGCGCAGAGATCGTATGTTTGGAGGCGAAGCAGACGCTCGCCACCACCTGGAGAAGTTCCTGAAGAGCATGGATCCAAGTCCCATATTGTTGGTTCTGGATGATGTTCGGCCAGAGACAGGTTTCCTCCTTGAGAGAGTGAAGTTTGACATCCCTGGTTACAAGGTCCTGGTAACTTCGAGATCGGAGTATCGCAGATACAGGAACTACAAGCTGAACCCACTGAATGAAGAAGACTCCAGGACGCTTTTCTGCAACTCAGTGTTCCTTCCGGACCAACCAGCCCCCGACGTTCCAGATGGTATCGTTAATCAGGTAGTTTAATTTTCTTGTTGTGATTCCTGGGGGAAGGAAATGTATCACTTCTTGAACATATTTTCTGATGTGAAATTTGTGCAGATAGTGAAAGAATGCAAAGGAAATCCACAAGAGCTAACAGCTGCTGCTAGATCACTGTGTGGAGAGCCTGCTGAAGTTTGGAGAGCGAGGGCCATGGAGTTAGCGGAAGGTGGTCATGGCCGGTATGGCTGGCAGTAATGATCTGGATGATCTTAATGGGATCTGTTGTTGACGACTAGCTGCCTAAGTTCAAGGCTTAATTGATTAATAAAAGTGTCATAAATCTTTTCATGTTTGTATAGAATGTGTTTAAACTTTAAATTTTTGTTCAATATATTATATAAATTCGCCTTCCGTAGTATCGTACTCTAACATATTCAATAAGTCCTATTACATAATAAAATTTTTTTAATATCCATTTAATGTTTCAAGATATACTAAATCTTTTTTTAAAATCTCGTTTTTTGATTATGAAGTGTCTCATTTTCCCCAATATTTGTTCAATGCTTCATGTACTACACATAATGGATATACACATCATAAGAAATTAAATCGATAAATTAAAACTTTATGCATATTTATATTTTCATCAATAAAATCTCATACGTATTAACAGAGCAACATACTTGTAACGTGTTTTACTAACTCATATGTTAGTTCCTTGCTCTCCCTGATACCGATAACTCAAATTCGAGATTTCTACTTAGCTTACCAGGCTGCCCAGCTAATTACCTATTAGGCCTATTGATTGCTTTGATCTCCAAGAAGCTAGGCAATGAAATAAATCCCCATTGAATGATGAACATAACATAGAAAAAGAAATGGTTATGGTTTGCAGAATTTCAGGAGGTGGATTATCTACAGGAAGTTCAAAGAATCCCTTTTCGCTTTGAAGCTGAGCTTTTCTCGTCAAGAATCTTTTCTTTTCCTTTTACCCCCACTCTGGTTTGCTATCTGCAACAGTGTCTGCACACGCGAAATGTCCAAGCATCAGATCATGCTTGAACTTTCCTCCATGTATGGCCCCGCAAGAAAGAGCAAAGCCCTTTAACATCCATGTCAAGAAAGATTCCCAAAGCTTAGAATAGAATCCAGTACTTTACCCATTTCCCATCCTCAAAGGCCAACCTTTAGAACAAGAGAACACCCAATATATGATATGTCCTCCTAAAACTCAGAACTAGAGGGGAAGCAAAAAGGGGGTTTGGAGTTCTTGTCAGAATTTTCCTTTCTCTGATCTTCTTTTCTATTCTGCAGACAGAGTCCAGGCTATGGCGCAAGTTGTGCAGGATGCGTTCATCGGAGCTGTGATGGGAGAGCTGCTAAAAGCAGTTCTGGAAGCCCAACGAAAGGCAGCAGCGTTCAAGCCAACCCTGCAAGAGATCGAATCCACTCTAGAAACCATAATCCCAATCGCTGCCGAGATCCAAGAGCTGAGCGAGGTGCTGCACCAGGATAAGAGAGAGATCGAACCATTGATGCAAGTGATCAGGGAAGGTAAAGACCTCGTCTTGAAATGTTCCAGAATTCGATGGTATACATGCTGGAAGAAGCCGAGCTACAAGGACAAATTGGACGCCCTGGAGGGCTCCCTGAAGAGCTACCTTGACTTGGTTCTGCAGCTCCAAATGGCGAGGGACATTAAGAAAAATTTGGTGGAAGTGAAGAAGGTTCAAGTAATGGTTTTGGATCGCGGGAGAAGGGCTGGTCTGGAGGGGTACTTTCTCCCTGCAGCGATTCCGAATCCTGTTGGATTTCAGGTTCCCCTGTGGGAACTGAAGATGGAGTTTTTCAAGGATGACACTTCTCTGCTTGTTTTGTCTGCACCTCCTGGCTGTGGGAAGACCACTCTGGCTACTCTTTTCTGCCATGACAAAGATGTTCAAGGTAATAATGATACACCTTTATGTTCTACTGATGGCTACCCTAGCTACTCTTTGCTGAGGTTCTTACCTTTTAATCTGAACCTGATGAGCTGCTCGACTCTATGCAGAAAGATTCAAGGATAACATCTTCTTTATCAGAGTGTCGAAAAAACAAACAATGGAGAGTGTTGTCCAGAGAATGTACATGCTCAAGGGTCATAGAGATCCTGTGTTTCAAGGTGAAGAAGATGCTCACTACCACCTGGAAAATCTCCTGAAGAGCATGGACCCGAACCCGATATTGTTAGTTATGGATGATGTTTGGCCAGAAACAGTTTATATCCTTGACAAGCTAAAGTTTAACATCCCCGGTTTTAAGGTTTTGGTAACTTCAAGGTCGGTTTATCCCAAATACAAATATCAGAAACTAAACCCACTGAACGATAAAGATTCCCGGACACTATTCGACAACTCAGCATTCCTCCCAGACCAACCAAAACCTGACATTCCAAAGGATGTCATCAATCAGGTACTTTCTTATATAGTTTAGTTGAGATAGGTACATTACCTTTATAGTATCCACGGAAAATTTTCGATTTCCTGAATCAATCTGTAATACGAAATGCAGATAGTGAAAGAATGCAAAGGGTTTCCACTAGCCCTTACAGTTGTTGGGAGATCACTGTGTGGAGAGCCCATTGAGGTGTGGAGAACGAGAGCCATGGCGTTATCCGAAGCTGGACCAGTAATGGAAGGCGGTGAGCTGTACAGTTGCCTTGAGAAGAGTTTAGATGCATTAGACAAGCAGCCCAAGGTGAAGCAATGCTTCATGGACTTGGCTCTGTTTCCTGAGGACGATTTGATCCCTGCAGCTGCCCTAATTGACATGTGGTCTGAACTCTACAAACTCGATGAAGATGGCCTACAGGCTGTGGCCAATCTCTATCAGCTCTCTGCAAGGAACCTAGCTGATCTTGTCGTTACAAGGCGAGTAATTTGCTTGACAACTCGATTTCATCGAACGAAAGTGATTCTTTTCAGAGGAAAGAAAAGAACCCGTGCTTAAAGTTATCATCTTTTTTGACAGGACTGATGCTGAGGGCTACAACCATCACTTTGTGACACAGCATGACCTTCTGAGGGAGCTAATCATCTACAAAAGCAGCCTAGAGTCCATGGAACAGAGGGACAGACTAATAGTTGAGATATTCAGGAATCAAGTTCCTGACTGGTGCACTGAAAGAAAACAGCTTAGCATTCACTGCCGCATTCTGTCTATCTCCACAGGTTTTCTTCCATCCCCTAACTCTCTATCTGTCATCTCACAATGCCTGCATTATGTAGATTACACGAGCCATTACGGTGGACGCCATTGTTTGTTCTGCTTTTTCTGCAGATGAGAAGTTCTCCAGCAACTCATGGAGAATCCAAGCACCAGAACTCCAAGTCATGGTCCTCAACTTCCGCACAAAAACCTTCACCCTGCCAAAATTCATGACAGGACCAAACGAAACCCCTCTCGAAGTCCTCATACTCAGAAACTATGGCGTCTCCCCAGCTGACGTCAAGAACTTCCCCCAACTCCTCTCATCCCTCTCAACCCTCAAAAAGATCAGGCTCGAACAAATCTCAATCCCTCCATCCCTCTTCACCACTCTCCACTTCCAAACCCTCGAAAAAATCACCATAGTCCTCTGCCGTGTAACCCTAGCTTTCAATCCCTCATCTTCCCGAATTTCACAACCACTCCCAAACCTTAAAGAGATCAACATCGACTACTGCAAAGATCTCGTCGAATTACCCATCGAAATCTGCAAGCTCACTAACCTGAAGAAGCTGAGAATCACGAACTGCCATAACTTGGCCGCGCTTCCCGACGAGATCGGGCGGCTGGAGAACCTCGAGGAGTTGACGCTGAGTTCTTGTATAGGGTTATCGGAGCTACCGGAGGCGATTGGGTATCTGGGGAATTTGAGGAGCCTGGATATATCGGAATGTGCGGACGTCAGGAAGCTGCCGGAAGCCATTGGGGAGCTGGGGAAGAATCTGAAGAGGATTCAGATGATGGGTTGTTCGAAGAACTTCTGGGTTCCCGATTCGGTGCTGAAGCTGGAGAATTTGGAGGAAGTTGGGTGCGATGAAGATACGGCGCCACTGTGGGAGCCTTTTGTTCAGGTGATGAAGAGGTTGAAGGTTAAGGTCCGGAAGGAAGAGATCAACTTAAATTGGCTCCACGGTGGTCGCTTCTGAAAATGTTTACTGTGATTGGCTCATTAATCAATCATGTATATGGTGTTACATAGCAAAACTATTGTTTGATGATCCTCTGTAAAATATTTGTCATCAAATGTACAAACATAAATAACATTTAAAAAAATTCGAACTTCAAGAAGGCGCTATATGTAAGGTGAGAGTTGGGTTTTACTTAGCGTCTAATTTATCTAGGCATCGATTAACCTTACCTAAACGTTGAGCAAAATAATAGTGTAACTGTACATTACATGATGAATAAAATAGCAATTGACAACACTTGCATAGTTTCGTTTAAATGATTAATAATATATCTATATATAACACTTAATAACATGAAAATAATATATCACATGTTCATAGAATCATAGTTCAATAGCTTACAAGTTTCGTCTTTAACTTATTGAAAAAGATTGAGAGAGAGAAGAGTTCTTCGATTTTTGTGTCTACCTCTACCTAATTTTATAGATGATATTAATTTACCTCTTTGTAATTGACTGCCTAGATCTACCTGAAAGTCTAGGCAACAACTAGGCGTCTCTTTACTTTGGCATTGTGTTCTCGATACCTAATTTGTTGCGGATCCCGAGGCAAGGCATTTTGGAGTAATCTGACGCCTAAGCATGCCTATGCGGCGGCTACACATAAATTTAAGTGTGTCTTCTTGAACAATGAGAATAACTCGAGAAGTCTATGCATTTGAGATTACACACTAAGATAATTTTGTTATCCTTCATTATTAGGCTAAAACTCAACCACCAATTACCTGTACACGCTACAATTATGGTAGGCAGTGAAACTTTATTCATATCGACTCATTTGTATAATTACGGATGGGTTGTGATCCTATATTATATAATTAAGTATAACATATCGACTCATTTGTATAATTATGCACGTCTAGACTTGACAGAATGGATTAAACCCTCACTCACTCACTCACTCTCCTAACTCCCACCAAAACCCTAGGGGGGAAAAGAATGGAGTGAGGAGTGCACACGATGCCAGAGTCCTCCACGTTTAAAGACTGTGTCCACCTAACTTCGAAGAACCCGTTCATCCTCCGGCTGGCATTCTACGCCAGAATTGGTAGGGCTGCTGTTCAGCTACGACACAGGTTCGCGCGCGCTCTCTCTCTCTCTTCTTTTGCTATTGCAAAAGAAGGTTTCCGTATCCAACTCTAATACTCGAATCTTGAACAATGAAAATTACACAATAAATCTATGCCTTTGAAATTACATACTAAGATATTTTTGTTACACTTCATTATGTTTATTGAGTAACAACTAGGGATGGACAATGGGTGAGTAGAGTGATTTTTAGACTAAAACTCAACCACCAAGTACCTATACACGCTACAGTTATGGTGGGTAGTGAAAAATTATCCATATCGACTCATGTATATAATCATGGGTGAGTTGTGATCCTATGTTATATAATCATATTCAACTAATGCTGCCAACTAAAATTCAAAATTCGATATATTAAAACTAATTTTAGAGTTGGGTGCATAGTATGCACTCTTTTTGCGAGTGCACCGTAAAAGCCATCATAATTCATTTTGTAAGTAGAGCAAAATTTATAAAGATAATTAACATTTAATTGAATCAATCACGATCGACATTTTGAGACAGAAAAAACAACAATGTATTTTATAACATGTAGATTAGTAATGTACTATATCATGTGGTTTTGGGTGGATTACAATTGGTTTTGGGTTGATTATACTTGGATGGATTCAGGTAGGTATAATTAGTGTAGTCAAAGGCATGTTTTAACATAGATGCGTTTTGGTGATCTAGAAGCGTAAAATAGCTTTAAAGCGTATTTTTAACTATATTAGCTATAAAAACGGTGATTTTGCGGAGAGGCATTTTGGTGACCTAAGAACGTAAAAGCATAAGTTTTTAAGCTTTAAAGCACGATTTTGACTACATGTTGCCCCGCCTATTGCCCACTCTCTGAAAGGTCGTGTTAGAACTATACATGTAAGTAAGAATTCGTTACCATATTTTTTTATATTTTTAGAAAAATAGGGTAATGTCTATCTTTTATCCCAAAAAAATTTCAGATTCTTTTAAATTATCCAAACCTATCGAAATATTAAAAATTAGCCAAATGTTAACTTCCAGTTAGCAATTTTGTTAGTATTATTGACTTGACAACATGATACTGACTTGGAAGAAACACATGAAGGTCAACATTCCAAAATTTTAGTATTTTAAATAAGAAAAGAGTTACAAAATTATTAACGATAACGTAAAAATGGCTAATGTTTTGATGCATTATGAAAGATTTGGATAATTAATAGAATTTTAATAGATTTGGATAATATAAAAAATCTGAAAAAGATTTGGATAAAAAATAGACATTACCCCTTTTAGTAAGGGTGATATAGGTTTGAACCATTACCTAATATGGCTAAGGGGCTAAGGGAGTGGTTATAGCCTTATAGGTAAATCAAAGATTTACTAGGGTTTTATTTGGTCTTTGATTTCGATCATCAAAATGAGATCCTGACCATTTATGGTCTCCAGAAAAGTCAACCATAAAATGAAAAAAGGTCAAACAAGAGATGAAAAAGTGGTTCAACTAGCGATTTGAAGCCAAATAACCTGTTAAGTAGCTGCAGCAAAAGTCGCAGACAAGCACGTTTACCATATTAAACTTTATACAAGGAAACTTACACCACCTCTAAAATGTTATTATCAGACATAGATTCGTTGCATAGGCATACAAAACAACAACGACAACAACAACAACACATGTATAGGAGAAAACCTGCAAGATACAGAAGGTAGTTGTGATTCCAACAACCCAAATCCTCTAGCTGGATAATAATATAAGAGCCTCTCTGGATCATATGATTCTTCCAACTTAAAAATCAACAACACACCTGCAACTTGCCCCTATCTGCTGTTCTGTTCCCCCCTAATCACTAAAGAACCCAACCCTCTACTATAACTGTTTCCCTCGCGAGGACGTGCTGTTTCGATTTATAATGCATAAATGATTTCCCCACTGCTGTCGATATCGAGCTCGGACTCCGAGTCCAAGTCCATGTCGTCGTCCAGGTCAAGGTTGTCGGCCATGTATAGGTTAAGACCCAAGGAACCAGCCGGCGGTATGGTAGCCTCCGAGATTATCTGCATGATCGTGTCGACGCTCTGGAGGGGTTGGTCCGCCTCCTCAAACTGGCTCCCTATTGTCCTTTCATCCATAAGGTCTGCAGGCAGATTCTTCAGAAACCATTCGTGGGTCTTTATGTCCGGGATGGAGATCCGCTGCTCAATGCAACAACTTGATTAGACCTCATAGTCTAAACTTTGGAACCATGCACACTAATCAAAACAAAACAGTAAATGGAACTTACTGCAGCAGGATCGAAAACAAAAATCTTTGCTATGAGGTCGCGACATTCTTGAGAAATCTGAACTGTGTCTGGAATGTTATACTGAACATTCAGGATTCTCTGCACAAAGACCACAAATAAGATTTCGACGTCCAAGTGGAATTTTCATCCAAATAACTCAAACGCCGTTTTGATGGTATTGTCGAAATGGATAGGCTGTGAAGAAAACAAATAGATCACTGCATTGCAAGTGACGGTAGAGGGGAAATTCATTTAAAATAAATACCTGTATGGTCTTCCTGAAATCCTTGGGCTCTTCAGGATCCTCGAAGGGATACCCTCCAAACAGCATCACGTATAAGGTCACCCCACACGACCACACATCCGCAATCTAGAAACCCCGTCATTAACATTTGACATCGCCATTAGCTAATAGAACATAGCTACTCCATGAAGTCAAACTTTAGCAACAAAAGAAGATTGTGTTATATACCTTCCCATCATACTCTTGCCTCAGTAAAACTTCAGGAGCTATATATGCAGGAGTTCCCACCGTCGACTTTGGTTGTGAATGAAGTACCGATGACTGATTCAAACACAACACAGAAAACATTAGGAGGAATGAATAAGGCGATGAAGCACAGCCACCAAAACAACCACAAGAGAAAAGTAAACTACCTTTGAGTAGCCAAAATCACAAATCTTTAATCTTGGAGCAGGGCTTCCATCTAACAATGTGTTCTCCAACTTCAAATCTCGGTGACACACTTGCTTCATCAAGAAATGGTAAGTTAGAGCACAATTTCAACTCATCATCATAAGCTCGAGTTCATAACACCACAAATCATGAGAAAAAAGGCCCAAGTACCATAGCATGGCAATAGCTAACACCAGAGATCAGTTGCTGGAAGAAAAACCGAGCCTGAAACAGAGAAAACAAAAACAGAATCAAGACACTATAACCAAATAAGGGAAAGGGAGCAGAATTAAGATTAGGGAAAGAACAGAAAGAGAACAACACAAACCTCATCCTCACCAAAACGCCCAGCACTACATATTCGCTCAAACAGCTCCCCTCCTGATGCATACTCCATCACGATCGCCAGATGAGTAGGCGTCAGGATTACCTGCATAATTATCAATTACTAATTAGATGAAGTAAGTTAAGAGCTTCATCCACAACCTTGAACATAAATTGCCCCCACAGGAAAATGAATGAAAGAACAACCAACCTCTTTGAACCTCACAATGTTGGGGTGCCTCAGTGACCTATGATTAATGATTTCTCTTTGAACATTCTCATCAATCTGCAGACATTCCCAAAACAAACCAAAAACAACAGTTGAGCAGTGAAGAACTTCATGACCTCTCCTCACGTTTAATGTCAAAAGAAGAGAAAAAGGGGTCAACCTCTGTTAACTATAAAGTCCCTCCAACATTTTCAAACAAAAAAAATACTACCCCCTCAACATTTCTAGCAAACCATAGTCCAGTAACAAGCTGAGGGAGAGGGAAAAAGGATCCAAAGAAAAAGAAGCATGAAAATATCCACCATTAAATTGCCACACTCACTTAACTCCAGAGATGAACAGACACTAAATCCTCGCCTTTACTAAATTTGGAATAAATCTTCATTACAGCTACCCCCGAAACAATCATACGATCCCAACTAAAAACCAAGAATTAAGCCCAAAAAAAAAAAATCCCCATCCATCCCAGAAAAAGAATTACCCAAGTTAATCTACAATTACCAATAATAGAAACACCCTCCCGTCCAAAAACAGCGACAATCATTACTCCCGTCAGTCTAATCTCCATCCCGTAAAGAAAGAAAAAGGAAATTCAATTCAAGAACCCTCCCCCAATCAAAAATCACACTTCAACAAACCTTATCTCCTCGCTCGATGTACTTCACAGCAACGAGCTCCTTGGTGACCTTATCCGTCATCAGCCGGGCTACCCCGAAGTTTCCCGACCCGATATCCCTCACGAAATCGTACCGGTCGCTGTCGTGCATGATCGGCATATCCATCCCAGGACCCACCGTCACCGTCGACCGATCCATCGCCTTAATAACCCTTCCTCTGCTCTCAATCTGTTTTTCCCCGCTCCCCAAATCGCCGGAGACTCCACGATCACATTCCACGGCGGAAACCCCGCTCCGATCGAATCTTCCTAGATCGGCGGCTCGGAGAATCGGGGGCAAAGGGCAAGGAGGAAGAAATGAACAAAGAAATGAAAGAAAGGATAGAAAGCTCGCCCAACCCAGAAGAAGAAGAAGATAGATATTTTAGGTTGGTTGATCGGCGACCTTCAATGGGTTTGAGGAGTTTATTTATTATTTTAATACAATATATCCCTTTTTTTTCCTCCTTTCTCTCTGCAAAACAGTGAAAGAGATGGAGAGAGTGAGAAATGATGGTGGTGGTGGGAATTTGTGGGGGAAGGGATATTTACCAGGCGGGAGGTAGAAGACGACAAAAGAAAGTCGCAGAGAGTGATACGGCGTCGTTTTGGTTGGGTCTTCGTCCGGTTGGTTGGTTGGTTCCTTGTCTTGGCTGTATTATTTTTTGTCCTGTTCTGCTGTGTTCCCTCATTTTTTAAATTTTAATTATTTTGGGTGAAAGTACGGAAACGCCCCTGGCGTTTGGATAATCATCTCTGCCGGTCACATGCAGTGCAGAAAGAAGAAGAAGGTCCCGAGAGCATATTCTTCCCTAGCTGTGAGGAGGGATCACCTGCGGGTGAGTGCATGAATGGAGATGTGAACTTCCCGGTGGATGTGCATCCCGTCGGGAGGAAGCTGGTGGATGGACGGTTGGGATTAGAGGCATTTGGATAAAATGAAAAAAGGGACAGAAAAAACTGATTTTTGCCCTTTTCTTTGGTGATTGTGGATGGACGGTGCCTTGCCAATTAAGAAAAGCTTATGAGATTTTTTTTTTCCCTTTTGAGAAATATTAAAAAAAATGACAAGGTAGAAAAAAGGTTAACCCTTGAAAAGATAAGTAAAAAGCATAATAGGAACATGTAGCATTCCTAATACGTATTTGTTTGAGATCCAAAACTCTATAAAAATGTTTAAATTTCACCTGCTACAAAATATGAAGCGGTAATTAATTTGCTTGTGTAGCAACCTTGATCGGTATCGACCTATTGTTTTGACAGTCGCGATGATCTTATAAAGCGATAACAACCAGCTGTACAAACTTACCATCTGCAATGAGCATTATTTCGTCGGGAAAGACTAAGTTGGTTGGGGGAGGTTTGATTGATGGTTTTACATACATAGTTTGAATGGGGGGAGGGATTTGGTTTTCATTTAAGGAATGAATCTTGGTACAAGTAACCTTTTTGGTCAGTTCCTTTCTTTGACCGTCTTTCCCCCTTTCAGTAGCATTCCTTTGCTTCACTTTCACATCTTTTCTTATCTTTCTCCCCCCTCTTTTTCTGCGCAGCTTGTGATAGCTATTGTTGGGCCTGAGGGCAGATCGGAGCCGGATATCAGGCCCAGGATAGAAAAAAGAGCCCACCCAGGATCCAATTCAAATGGGCCGGTTCGACCATATCCATGGACAGGGAGGACAAAAAATGAGTCAGAGGCTCAGCAGAGCACAAAACCTAAAACGGAAGCGCCACGAGTCCAAGTTGGTGGGCCCCGCTCTTCGTATTTCTCTCTCTCTCTCTCTCTCTCTCTCTCACGCGCACACTCTAACGAGCAACCAACGAGAAACCGGTGAACGAAATCAACGAAACGCAAACCCTCTTCTTCTTCCTTCGCTTGCTTCCCTTTTCTCCGTTCCTTCTTCGCCCCAATTTCTCCCTCTCTATCTCTCTCGGTTTTTTCCACTCGCAAGCCAGCAAGCAATGGTGTCCGACTCGGAGTTAATCGGCAGGCTGCGGGAGTTCCTCAAGAATTCGGACCTCGAGACCACAACCACCACAATCGTCCGGCGGAAGCTGGAGGAAGATTTCGGGGTGGATTTGTCCGATAAGAAGGGTTTCATCAGGGAGCAGGTCGACCTGTTCCTGGAATCGCAGTTCGAGGAGCAGGCCGTCGATGTCGCAGGGGGCAATGAAGACGAAGGAGAAGGGAGCGCCGCCGATGATGGGAAATCGGAGGGGAACGAGGGCGATGAAGTGGAGGAAGAAGACGAGGAGGAGGAGGAGGAAGTAGAAGAAGCAGTGAGAAGATCGAGTAAGCGGAAGACTCGAGCCAAAGGCAGGTTTGTTCAAGATTGAATTCTCTTGGCGATGAATTGACGGGTTTCGTTTCTTTTCCTTCCTCTGCATTATTAGGTTGCTGGAAAGAACTTGTTTTCCATGGTGGTGTTGTGGATTGGGTTAATTCTTTTGGTTAGAGATGGTTCTTTGATGGTGAATGAGTGGGGCATGGTTCGGGTTGTATTGATTATTAGGTCACATTTTGAATTACTGCTTCCTCTCGGTGGTGATCAGCATTGGGCAATGAGTAGATGATGGAACTCACCAGTTGGGGGATGAACTCAAATTGGTGTGTTTACATGGAAAATTGTAGATAATTGTGGCTTTGAATAGTTGAAAGGGGAGCACTTTTTGCTGGCGTGCAAATTAAGGTTTTGTTTGGAGGAATTGATTATGTTCATTGCCTACATTGGGTGGTTTGCTTCACGTGGCCACATTTTGTGTTCTTTGCTTCCATTATCGGTAAAGTGCAGTTGGGTTTCAGTTAATATGGCTTACAATAGTTTTGCTTTTCTTTCTGCTTTATCTGCAAGTAGTGGTAGTTCTGTTGAGAAACATTGAGATTATCTATTTGCATTTGGAACAGGTCCTATTAAATTTGCTCGGTTTCTGCTGCAGCACTTAAGTGAGAATGCTTGTGGAGAGACAGTTTCTGCTATTACATTTCCCACTTTTCTCTATTCCTCATTCATCCTACACTGTTGCTTGGGCATCTGGCTTTCTTCTTTCTTGACTTTTCTTGCACGAAAAAAAAAAAGAAGCCGAGTGACGGTTGGACCATGAGCAGTGCTGTAATTGAAAGCCACGTATTTGCATATTTGGATATGTAACGACATGATATACAGCCCTCTTTGAACAAATTTACCCTTAAGAAAAGGAAAAATCAATAAGGTTAGGTTAGCCTTTACTTTACCGAGTTTGGTAATGCAGGTTGTTAGTTAACTATATTGACGGCTGTAGTGAATTTCTGGAACAAACCTAAGTGTATTCTGTTTAGATTCTTTCAAAGTCACTTCCACCATCTAAAGATGATTTCTTTTTAGTCCACTTGGTCAACAGTTAAGTACCTGTGGAATAGAAAGAAGCTTACAGAAAGCATTTCTCTCTATCAATAGTATATATGCATGGAGCTAACTGCATTTCGTAGGATTGCCTTCTGGGCCCATGATTATTAAACTCGAGCAGTTGCTGAATTTTATATGCATTTGGGAAGTGTATATCGCTCTTCTTCTGATCTTCTTTTGTTGAAAAACAGGTCTAGGAAGCAACCTGAAGAAGGCAAAAAGAGAGGAGGGGGTGGTTTTACCAAATTGTGCCGCCTGTCTCCTCAACTTGAGGAGTTTCTTGGGGCTCCTGAAATGGCTAGAACAGAGGTATACGCGCTGCAAAAAACTATGAAAAAGATGCATTGTGAATTTTGTTATCACCAAGTTCATGTGATTGAATTGTGGAAGAGTTCTCAGCTCCCTTACTCTTTTCACCATAGGTGGTCAAACAATTATGGGCTTACATCAAAGAGAAAGAGTTGCAAGACCCGAGTAATAAGAGAAACATACTCTGTGATGAACCATTGCGTGCAATTTTTAGTGTCGACTCAATCAACATGTTTCAAATGAATAAAGCCCTCACGAAGCATATTTGGCCATTGGATTCAGATGATGGTAATGCTTCTACTGCTCTTTTTGTCATTAATAATTCAATTTTGATGAATTGCTGTCCAAGTCTCTGGTTCGACACATCAAATTGTTCTTGAAAGATCTGTTTTTAATTTTTGTTGCTCTCGTAATTATACAGTAATTCCAGTCAAGACAGCTACACAGAAGGAAAAGGAAAAGAAGCAAGAGAGTGAAGAAGGTATAGATTGGCAGGTTACTTTTCATTTGAATGATACTAGTGAACCAGATGGAGAAAAATAAAATTTGAATTCAGTATTCCTTAGATACGCTATATGAGCAATCTGTGACTTGTCACTTCCCAAATCCAAAGTTTTTGAATTCATGAACTTTGAAGATCATTATCACCTATCCTAGAATATACTTATTGGGAAGTCCATAAACATCCAAGGGATCATTTGAATGTTGGAGTTGAGGGCCAAATCTATGAGTAGAAATCGATGAGGTTATCAAATCCTTTGGCCACACGGATTTGAACAACCTTCTCATACATGTGGGCTTTTTGTAACCAAGCCGTCCTAATGTCTACTCGGTCCTGATCTATCTACCTTGTGAAAGTAATAGTCTTTCCTGAGATGATACATTTCTTATTAGTCTTCGCTTGACCCTGTGCTAGAACCAGATGATCCAGGAAGGAAAGAGAAGCGACAAAAAACCGGAAACAAAGGATTTATGGCCCCTCTTCAGCTCTCGGATCCCCTAGTGAAGTTCCTTGGTACCGGCGAAAATGCACTGTCTCGATCCGAGGTCATCAAGAGAATGTGGGACTACATAAAGCAGAATAACCTACAGGTATGTTGTTACCTTGGTGGAAGCTGAGAAAACTGCTTAGTTCATTCTTCTTTTGTCATTGAAATCTCATCACAATATCACACAAAAACCGGATAAGAATTCATGCTTCGTTCTCTGCTTTGTGTGAAGGATCCATCCGATAAGAGGAAAATACTATGCGACGAGAAGCTGAAAGAACTGTTTGATGTTGATTCCTTCGTCGGCTTCACAGTTACAAAACTCCTATCCGCTCATTTCGTGAAGAGCTGACACGAACGCGGATCTCTGGTCATTTTGCCGAGGTTTTGATCAGAGGACAGGACGAGTGGTTCCTGTTTTTGGAGGGTGGGTCTGACTTACTATAGTCCCCCGGAAGAAGAATGAAGGGAGGATGTGTCGGTGGCCTAAATCCACGGCTGCCAGATCGCCAAGAGCCATGTCTCTTTTCCTTTCTGCCCTTCTTAGTTCTCAATCTGTAGTTTCTTCTTTGCTCTCATCTTCATGCTGTACATTTTCTTAGTCCACTGCCCCAGAAAATCAACAGGGCAAATAGGAGATCGACTGTTTTTTCTTCTTCCTTTTGTTAGGTGTACTGTAATGACAGACAAATTGTTCCTTTTTTAACACAGTGCAAGTTTTCTTAGAAGCTGTCCAGATCTTCCTTTTACCTTGACATGACATGTTTACATTTGGTGCTACTACAATTTACAAGCTTGGAGATCATTGGAAAACATAGAGAGCAAAACTGAGAACGAAAATGAACAAGAGCTGAAAGATCCTTGCTGAGCATTAAAAAGTAATTCCATTGCCGGGAATCGAACCCGGGTCTCCTGGGTGAAAGCCAGATATCCTAACCGCTGGACGACAATGGAATCTTTTGGTAGATTAATGAAAATCCATCAGTTGACCGACTTTGCCATCAAATTTCACAAGGTAACTTATGCCAACTTGCGGCACGTTAGGGTTTGATTTTTTTTTTTTTGTATTATCAGGCATATAACAATAACTACTAAATTTTCGTCATGATCGTACTTAAACGCGTTAAAATAGTCCATTTAGAGTTAAGCCGAAAATGGTCAAACTCGGGAAAACCCGGGTGGTTGGTCCGTTCGAGCGGGTCAGCGTGATGCTCGTTACAAAGTGTTGTTGAATTTTTCCTATGTTGAATTTAAGTTAGATCTTATTTTTAAGTGCGTTGAGTTTAAGTACAATTGTGTTTTTTTTATTTATGTTGGATTCAAAATAAGTACAACATAATGACTTTTCTATATTTTTGGGCTAAAACGGGTGACCCATCAACCCTTGACCCACTAGCTCGATCGGGTCCGGATCGACCCGCGGGTTGACAACCTTGCCAGACATCGAAATAGATATAGATGTTTGGCAATTGGATCTGTCAAACAATAGTTTGAGTGGACTAATTTTCTGTCTCCAGACTGAAATCTCTCCTCGCCGATTGTAATCCCGAAACAAAAGTGTGAAAAAGAAACAAGAAATGTAGATAAAAAAGGACAAGTCAAGAACCACGGGTATTAATATCTCGAATTGTTGAGAGAGATTCAATTATGCATTTTATATCATTTATTATCACGTTCCCTCAAACGAAAGTCAACTCATATGGACTTTACATTTGTACAAATATGAATATAATGTGCTTAATATATGTGAATCATCATGATTCGAATATAAAGCTCTCAATAATCAAAGACTGGTTTCAATATTACAAATCTTATACCATTTAATAACCAAGGCGAGATAGGAAGAGGATGGAAGAAAGGGCGGTCTCAAGTCTCAACAGAGAAATGGAATCCTTATCTCCAACGAAGACAAACAGACCAGATAAATAATTAAATAACATATCGACACAATTAATAAATAATAAATACGGGAAAATGAGAAAAAAGATTCCACGGAATTTTCCACATGCCGTTTTGGCGGTGGATGCGAGAGGCCTCACCGCTCGGCCCCACCCGCCGGTCCTCGGAATCTCTCGCCGGGAATCGAAACTCTGCCGCCGGCCTCTACTTCTTCAGGCCCTTCTTTGTTCCTTTATCTATTTATTAATTATTTTTTTGTGTTTGTATAGTTTTTGGCGCGCGGTGGCGGCAACGGACGGCCGGCAATCAGTCACCAGACAGTCGCACTAACAACCAAAAGGAATCTCACATTCTCACCGCTCAATCTCATCCATTAAATTCCTCCCACTTGCAACGTGTCCTCCTCTGGTTGGTTCTCGTAGCTGTTTTTTTTTTTCTTTCTTCCTTCCTTTCTCCCTATTGTCTCTCTAACATCCCGACTGTAACATTGAGCGGTTCGGACTTCGGCCGCCATTTCTGATTCTAAACCCCTACCCTGATCTTGAATGATCTTACCGCAAATATGTTTGCATTTTCCCTGACCCTGTATATACTTGTTGCCTCGATATTGTCGATGTTTTCGGAACCAAACCAGATGTTGAATCAGGAAAGTTAAAAAAATGAAAATATTACCTTGTTAATTTATGGCAATCTCATTTTTATGTATGGTCTCAACGAGAAAACACCTATTTAAACTCATTATCCAAACATTCTATCCACTTTTTAGGCTATCTTTCAAGTCTATGATTAAATCCTTCGGTCTTACAAAGTCAAATGGTAGAAAATTCTTTTATAATGGATAATATTACGCAGAATTTTGCGCGCTATAATATAAAAAGACATATAATACAAAAATTTAATAGTGAATTTATCACTAACCATAAAAAAATTAGGCAAAATACACTTGTGTAGCCAAAACTTTAACGGTTTGGACAAATATAGCCACTTTTGGCGAAATACCAAAAATAGCCACTTCCGTCCAATAGTTTGACGGTGTTACTTAACGTGCTGACTGGACTAACGAACCATCCAACGTGGCGATTTTGGACCGTATGTAAATTCCACGTGGAATTACATTAACAAAAAGGAAACGAAAAGGGGTAAAATCGTTTGGCCATCAGTCACTTCTACTTTTTCATTTCCCCCTTCCCCGACGCGAGTTTCACCCAAACCCTCTTCTCCGTCGACGATGAACAGTGCTCACCTTCTCCAGATCGGGGCTGGTAACCATCGCCGCCGCCGACGATTCCCTTTCCGATCGACGATCCCACCACGGAAAGCAAAACCCATTTTCCCCTCACCAGAAAATCTCTCTCCCATCCCACACACCAGCCTCCCTCACCGAATCGACTTCTTGGATTCTCTGCTACCACGTTCCGGCGACGGGATTCAGAGTTGGTGAGGTAGATTTCTCGGATCGAAACCCAAGATTTCCCAAGATGAAGTTTCCGAAAAAAAACCCTAATCCTCAAGCTTCGTGATTTTTGATTGAGGGCGATTTCTATGATTGTTCCTTTCATTCGAAGTGGAGAGGCAGTTACGACGGAGGCCAACGACGTCGCGGAGCTGCGGCCGCTGTGGATGGCGAGTAACAGCGGTGGCGGGGACGGCACGGAATAGGCGAGCCCAGATCTGGAACTCCACTCCCCTGTCTACCCTCCCCATAATTTCACCCGTCGCCCATCTCTACTCCACACAAACTCTACTCACCCTTCTCCATCTGTCGTCGAGCTCAGCCGCCGAGCCGGGAACGAAGGAGAACGAAGGCTTCACCATTCCTAAAGCGAAATACATGCGATCACCGAATCGAGAACCAGACTCTATACACGGCACACCAGATCCTCAAATCATGGATCTAGGTCGCCAAACAGGTCATCATCCGCCTCGCCAAGCAAATCGCAGTGGAGGAATTCGAGGCGGCGGCGAGCGATTGCTACTTCGTGGAACAGATCTGGAAGATTCTCACCGATATTGAGGATTTCCACTGCCTTCCCCAATATAGGAAAATCGCAGCGACTCGAAGTTGTTGTAACTGACGAATATCTAGGCGACGAGGGGTCTAGTTTGGGTAGGTGATTGAGAATGATTTGCAGAGGGTTTGTAATTGATTTGTCGGCAACAGGCGCACGGGTCGAGAGTTTTAGGTGGAGATTCGTTTAAGGGGTACATGGGCTTGGCGGCGATCGTCGGAGAGGAGGGCATTGTGGCTGGGCAAATCTGTAAGGTCCTGGTCGGCCACGAATCGATGGACTTCAGTCACCGGCAGAAGCTTCAATGGCCGGCAGGGGGCGAACCCTAAAAACGAATCGGGAAAAAGGGAGGAGTGCGGAATTTTATTTTTATTTTTTTTATATCTGACGTGTCACTTTCAGCTTATTTGGCGCTAACGTGTCCGCTGAGTTGGCGCCTTGTCAGCGAACCGTCAAGAAATTTAACGGTGTTATTAACACTGTTAAAGAATCTAACGGAAATGGCTATTTTTGTCATACAACAAGTACAAAATCTGGCTATAAGTGGTGTTTCTCCAAATCTGGCTATTATTGGCACAAACGCGAAAGTTTTGGCTATACAAGTGTATTTTGCCAAAAAATTAAAAAATCCATACCATTTATCACCAACAAGTTCTAACAGAACATTCAAACTATCTTATACAAGATATAATTTTTTCATTAAATTCGTTTAGGTTGAATGATTTTAGTTGACATTAATGTTTTTTAACCTTAATTTTTTTATAGTTAAAATAGTGAACCCGTAAACCAGTTAGTTTTCATGTCAAATCGTTAAAAATCATTCGATCATCTCTAATTATCCAACTAATTAAACCGAACCACTATTTTAATTTTTAACTGGTTCAGTGATTCTACCGTCCCAACGGTTAATTAAGTTTGTTTCTTATAAGAATGGATATTGTTTGTGCCTGGAATGTACCAAGCGGTTTGTGAGACTCCACTGGCCTTGGGCGGCTTCGATGGTCGGGGGCGGTCTTCGAAACCCTGCAGAAAGGTCCTCAGGGGGTTCCTGGGACCTCCTCCGATGCTTAAGTTAGAGAGAGAAGTGAGGAGAAAGTAAATAAGAGAGAGAATGGAGTTGGTAGAAGTTACCATCAATGTGATCCTACGAGGGGTATTTATACTAGTCTCGACCGGGCTCCGAGCATTTAATGTTGTGTCAGACGCTCCAGGACGTCTCTGGATTTCTCCGTGCCCCTTGTCAGAGTCCGTACGTAGGATCCAGAATGTCGGGCGGTTTCTTGGCGTTGGGGCCCGAGACCGCCTCTGGGTTCCTCCGTGTGCCTTGTCAGAGTCCGTTCGTGGGATCCAGAGTGTCGGGCGGTTCATCAGTGTCGGGCCATTACGTGTCGGGCGGTCCTTTCAGTGTTAGCGTCGTCGGACCGCCTTCGCTTTTGGGCCTTGCTTGCTCTTGTGTGGGCTTTGAGTGCCCTTTTGGGCTTATGGGCCGTGTGGATCAATGTGTGACCCAACAGATATGTATCCATCTATCCTTATCGTTTCACCTCTAGAGAGGAATCTTTCACATGCCTCGCAATCTCCCATGCATCCTTTTCTAAGTTTATGTCCCCCCTCCAAAATTTGTCTGTTGCCTAACTTAGCTTAGCTTTTGCCATCCAAGATCCACCATTTCTCTTCATTTTGTTGTCGTTAATGGAAAAAATTGATCACTTCCTGTAGGACCCATAAACTTAATTTGATTCCATTGTACAAGAAAGAGACAACATCAACATTATTGATTATCCAAAAAGTTAACCAAGGTAAATGGGGTTTATAATCACCTAACAAAGATTAGTGTCTTTTTGTGTATGTGGGAGCTCCTTTACTCCAAAAGTATAAGCCAAACTAAACATGCATATTGAAAAGCATTAATTTGGATTTCGAAAAAATAATTCAAATATTATTTTAACAATTTATCAACGAAATACGTAAATCGTTCGTTAAATCATATTTTTCTGAATATTTCATATAAGAGCTGCGTTTGTAAAGATTCCAAAGTAATTCAACTTCACAAGTACAAATTTGATCGAGTGGTTGTAACTTGTAACATCGGACATTGAATCCATAGATCTTTGGTTCTATGCTCGTATCAGGCAACTCTCACACTCTTCCCACTCACCCTGTGGAGGAACACACACTCTCGATACATCTATGTCACACCAATATGTCATATGCTTGTGAATTACTTTCTATTGGGAGGTTAGGCTCATCCAATAAGCCTCAACCACGAATTTGCATACCTTAACAAACAATGGATTTGTCCAAAATATAATGGTTGATATTTGGAGAGAGCGGATCCCATGACTAGGGGGGGTCCTTAGTCACTTGACTAAGCCCCTCCTAGCCATTAGATATGGACACTTCAATCCAATGATTAAAAAGTGGGAAGGGCTATTTAATTAATGACAGGGGTAGTTTGGGTATTATGGAAAATTACGAAGTATACAAACCGGATTTACAATCAGTACAAACCATACAAACATACGAACAGTACAAACTAGAGCGACAAAACATACAAAAAGATTTACAAACATTACAAACGTATGAACTGTACAAACAATACAAACTAGACTGACAAACAATACAAACCATACAAAAAGAAAAAACACCCGTGTTGACTTTGGAGGCTTCATCCCTATATAGAGGGGCTCCTTCCCAAAGTCAACCCGGGTGTTTTTTAGACATACAAACAGTACGAACATGGTGGACAAAAATGACAAACTAGACCGACAATCCATACGAACGGGAAAAAACACCCGGGTTGACTTTGGGGTCCCAAAGTCAACCCGGGTGTTTTTTAAACATACAAACAGTAAGAACATGGTGGACAAAAATGACAAACTAAACCGACAATCCATACGAACGGGAAAAAACACTCGGGTTGACTTTGGAGGCTCCATCCCTATATAGAGGGGCTCCTTCCCAAAGTCAACCCGGGTGTTTTTTAGACATACAAACAGTACGAACATGGTGGACAAAAATGACAAACTAGACCGACAATCCATACGAACGGGAAAAAACACCCGTGTTGACTTTGGAGGCTCCATCTCTATATAGAGAAGTTCCATCCAAAAGTCAACCAGGTTGTTTTTAGACATAAAAAACATTACAAACATGGTTGACAAAAATGATAAACATGGTACACAAAAATAACAAAGTTTACGAACATTACAAAAAAAATTGATAAACATTACAAAATAACAAAAGTGTACAAACATTACAAAATATGTCAACAAACATCACAAAATTAGTACTGTAGCCGGGAAATTCTTCTCCGTCGACGATGGTCGCCGGAAAAAAATTTCCGACCAGAAAATCTCTCTCTCTCGGGAGAATAATTCCCCAGGATGGCCACGCTATATCATTGGAAAATGTCCAGTCTCTCTCTCTCTCTCTCTGGGGAATAATTCCCCAGGATGGCCATTGGAAAAATGCCCAGCCGCGCCTCCGTCGGGAGAATGACCACCGGAAAAAAACATGCTGGCCGGAGAAAAGGATCAGTCGCGTCGGAGCCTCCGCCGGGAGAATGGCCATCGGGAAAAACCATGGCCGGAGAAAAGAATCGGTCGTCGGGTGTCGCAGCAGTGTGGCGCCTTTTTTGGTTAATTATAATTATTAAATAAAAATTAAATAATATTGAAATTATTTTATTGTCCTTCATTAAATTGGATTAATTGAAGCCATTGGATTTTAATGAGGTGGAAGGGCTGAGATCGACTTAGACAAGTGACTAAGAGACCCCCCTTAGTAACCTGATCTTAGCCCATATTTGGAGACCAATTCCAACATCCAAATTCTATTAACAAACAACACCTTAGATCCAAACCATACTTTAAAACTAGGGAGTGGAGTTTCGGTTAGTTCGGTTATAACCAGTAACTGACCGGTCGGTTATCGGTTAACCGAACAGCCGTCAGTACCCCTTACTAACAACCGCCCGAAATAGACTTCGGTCATCTCGATTACCGGTTAACCGAGCCCCCTTCAAGACCAAAACCATCTCGTCTAGCCTCCGATAACCGACCGAATTTCTAAAGAAAAGAAATCTTTTTTTTTTAAATGTGCTTTAAATAAGATTTTCTTACTATTGACGAATCCGAAAATTTAAGGAAAACTATTTATTACCTTCCATCAGTTACTAACTGACCACAATTCGCCACGTCTGTGCGGAGAAAACCCCACAACAAGATTCCCAGTAAATTCCAAAAAAGCGGAAATAAGGAATGAAAAAGAAAATAAATTAAAAAGATAAACACAATCCCCAACTCGCCCTAGTCACTCACCGTTTCGATTCCCGAGTCGACTCAGTTACGCGACGACCCGTAGCTAAATCCGTGAGGTTGAGTAACCGAATCTTCGCGTCTCTCTGAATCTGAAATTTCCTTTCCTTTCCTTTTCTTCTCCCACAATATAAAACCGCTTTCTTCTTCTTCTTCTTCATCATCTCAAAATCCCATCCGTCGCTGCTCACCTGACCTGGGCCAGTCTCTCTCTCTCACTCAATGCTCCACCCTGAATCCGTCTGAAAAAGAGAAAAAATCCAGAAGCAAAGAGAAATGGAGCTGAGCTTGGATTTGGGTCTGGTCCATGTCTCCAAAACAGTCGCCGAGTGTCTGAAAGAGGTCGCCAAAGTCAAGGATGTTGGTCAGAAGCTGTCCAGGCTTGACGATTACGTCAACAGATTGGAAGATGAGCGCCGGAAGATCGAGGTCTTCCGCCGGGAGCTTCCTCTCTGCATGCTCCTTTTGAACGATGGTAACACGGGGATCTCATTTCGCTTTCTCTTCCTTCTGCTGTTACTTTTTTTTGTTGGGTCTGCTCCATTCCTTCTCATCTCTTTGTTATTTTTGTTGGGGGGTTTCTTCTTTTTGGACTGCAGCGATTCTGAAATTGAAGGAGGAAGCGTTGCGTTGCAAGGAATTGAACGATCGAGCTGCTGCTGGTCAAGGAGAAGAAGGAGAGATGATGAACAAGAAGAGCTGGATGGATTCCGTGCAGCTATGGAAAACTGGAGATTCCAATCAGGTGGAATCCAATTCAGAATCCAAACAGGTTAGATAATTGGGAATTTGGGATACTTGGGCTAAAGACTCTGGCTTTTCAATTGGGGAATTGGGGGTTTTGCTTTATTACATTTGGACCCAGATAAGAATGCTGATGTTTCACTTCCCCTTTTGATTGATCTGGGTTTTCCCCTCTTTTTGTAAATTGAGCAGCAGAGAAGCGAGGAAGAAGATGATCGATCAACGTGTGAGAATCCAATTCAGCAGCTTCACACCAGGGAAGGGTCATTCATGGCGTTTAAGCCAATTGTTGGGTGTGGAAGGAAGGAAGAGAAGGAAGTTGTTTCACAGGCTACTGAGCTGTCTCTCATGACTCCATCTCCTCCTGAATTGGTTCTTGCCCCGAGTCGCGGCAGTAATCAGCAAATGAAGCTGCAGAGCGCTAAGCCACAGCCACAGCCATCGCAGCTTCAGCCCGACAAGAAGCAAAGGCGGTGTTGGGCTCCTGAACTTCACAAGCACTTCATGAATGTCCTTGATGAGTTGGGAGGACCTCATGGTATATAGCAGTTTCCATTAGCATATGTTAAGCTTTAACGTAGTTGTTTGCTTGGAATGATATCTATGTTTGATTGTGAATTGTGATGTTGTTATTAGAAGAATCGTGATTGATTTCGTGTTTCAATGTTTGATGCTGCAGTGGCCACTCCCAAGCAGATTAGAGAACGGATGCAAGTGGAAGGACTCACCAACGATGAAGTCAAAAGCCATTTGCAAGTATGGTTTCATTTTAGCTTATTAAGGCATTTTGCATGCTTGTTTTTTATTAGTGATTGGTGCAAGAGGAATGAGACAAAATTCAAATTTGACCATCTCTCAACTTGAGTTGGGGGATGAAGTCGGTTCTTGACAGAGCATCAAAGCCTTTGTGTCTTGTGTTTAGAATCATGGTAAAACTAAAACGTTGACGGGTTGATCTAGCTTTTAAGTATGATTAGTTTGTGCAAATGTCAAGCCTATTAGTTGATTCATTCCTGGATTTCCTTTATAACAAGTGGAGTGATTGAGACCGAGCCGATATGTGTACACAATTTGACATGAATTCTTTTCTTGTTGGTTGAGCAGAAATACAGGCTTCACATCCGAAAGCATACAGCTTCTTCATCTGCTGGCCCAGCAAATGGGTTGTGGACACCTAAGTATGATGGAAACAACAGCAATAACACTCCAAAGGCTAAAGTACTACATTCCAGTATGGAAGGTGAAAGCATGGGAGGCTTCTCTAGGTCTAGCAATGAAGGTGGAAGCATGGAAGGAGGGGATGAGCAATCAGAGAGTCGTGATAGTTCGAAAAGAGGTGCTGAGAAGGTGGGCGGTGAAGGAAGAGGAGTCGATGTATGGAGGTGAAATGCTCCCTTCTGATATTCCCCCTGACATAGATCATGAAAGGTAGATTAAAGGTTTCAAACTATTCTGTATACAACAAGGTGGAGAATCAGCTTGTAAAGATGATAGAAAAAGATACAGTCAAACACAAATAGAAAAGGGGGGAAACAAGAAGTTGCTGCTCTTAGCAATTTTATTTCCTTTTGCGGCTTATGTAGTTTCAGAGAGTGATGATAGGGATTGAGGGGTTTATCTGCAGAAAACTGCTGTTGATTTGTTAGTTCTATGTATGTCATTGTTGTTTGTTTGTTTGTTGATGAGGTTTGAGGTAGCAGGAGATTGCTGAAACCAACTGCACAATCATTTTGGAAGAGGGGAATCATTCTGTTACTGTGTTCTCCAACTTGGGATTTATTCAGTTACATCAAAATGTTTGCATTCACTATTGGGTTCTACTGTTCTAGCTTCTTCCACCAGCAATAGTTGCTTTTGAGAAAAGGATGGGGGGGAAACTAAAATGCTAACATGGAGAACATTTTAGGTGGCTTTTAGCATCTGTTGCAGTGAGCTGTAAGAAGCCATGGCCTATCATTTTCAGAAGGGGATATGATTGTTATCATAATAATAATGGCCAACTGCAGAGGCAGCAGCAGAGGATAATGTAATTAAATCATCTAAAACTTTCAGGCCCTTCATTATTTTTTGGGATAAATTTTGACCAAAACCACTAATTGTTGGCATTTCGAATATTTGATTGCTCAGCCAGCTCTGATTAATTGCCCCCTTTGTTACATATTTTTATGTCTTTCATGTATGTTCCTAGCTAACCCCGATTAGCAGCATAACAAATCTCAGCCTAACACTCAACCAATCAAAGCTCTTAGCTTTGATACTATTTTCTAAAAAGCTGTTGTCCTTTCAATCTAAATAATACTATTATTATATTATCATCATAATCTCTAATATGAAAGTGATAATGAGAGTGAGTGTATTGTGTAATTTGCATACACCACTATTTTGGTAGGATCATTGATTTGATTTAATTCGCAACTCAACAACTGTATGTAATTGATGACCACCCTTGTTAATTTTCGGTGACGAGATTCAGAGACCATATTTATTTTGCTCTTAGCAAGTCCACATCGCAATAAAGTCAATTTTGTTTGTCAAAACTGGGCTAGGTGATTTCTTATCATGCAGAACACTCTTATAATGCACTGAGTAATTCTCTTGCTTTTTGGTTGTACTTTGATTGATTCAGAACGGAAACAACGGGAATAATTGATAATACGTAAGAATTTGGAGAGCATAACCAGACAATAAGAAAGAATAGGTCACTTTGTGTAATTGTGAAGAAATGAGCACACTTCTCTTTTGTGCGGTGTAAGAACTTGAGAATATCAAAACGTGAAATGACTAATGAGCATAAGATATATGTTTGTTATTATGGGAAGTTAACATTTGGCTAAAAATTTGCTAAGTGGAAGTTAATATTTGGCTAATTCTTAGTACAAACATGGTGATTATATTCCATCTCGCCTCTTCAAGTTCTCGTGCGTAAGAATGCGATTAAGAGAACAAAAACCACATAAAAATGTTAACTTTCGAAGGAACTTGAAATCTCCACAACACCAAGTAAAGAAGGTCTTGAACACATCGACCGAACATAGAAGCACGACCTATGTTAGGACTCCAACTTAACATGCAAGGACCGGAAGAAACCAGTCAGTATGTTGTTTGTGACAATAAATTTAACATCACTACAAACTAATTTCTTCTAACTATTATATTTTTTTTGTTAGATTATCAAACTCTCATGGTTAGTTTATAATAATTTATAGCGTTCGTTCACAATCGGCCTCCAAAATTAAACCAAATTTCAACTGAATTTTATTTTACTCTATCTCGACTTTTGATTTGATGTACCAAGTACCAACATGAAGTATTCCTAAATACCATGCATTAAGAAGAAAAAAAAACTCAAACTTAACCTAAATGGCGTCGTTTTACGCAGACCACCGGGGGAAAAAATTAGAAATTCCCATTAGTAAACCTAATCGTCGTTTCAGTTCATTCTCTTCTCCTTCGAACGCAGAACGCCGCCGCCGGCAGAGAGCCCCCCCTATAGTTCACACTAGTAGAGAAGATAACCATCTGCTAACTTCCGGCTAGGACTGTGAACTATTGTTTCTGGCTGACTTCTCAGGTTCTCTTTTCTCTTGACGGAAATCATGAGAGAGATCGTAACTATCCAAGTCGGAGGATTCGCAAACTTCGTCGGCTCTCATTACTGGAACTTCCAGGTAAGCCAGTCGAGTTAGGAACAGTTGAAATTGAGTGAACCCAGCTTCTGGTTTCCAATTGACGAAAACCCTTTTGTAAAGTTGTGAACTTTATGCTCAATTCATTCCCGCAGGATGAGCTGCTTGGATTGGCTGATGATCCTGATAGCGATCCCGCCTTCGCAAATCATCAGCAGTATCTGAATATGGATGTCCTGTACCGCACCGGTGAAACGCATAAGGTAGGAGTTTGCTCCTTGATCTTTATCTGCCTTCCTGCAAATTGGAATGGTAGTTTTGAGCGACCTTAAGAATTCTGGGTTAAGTATATGCTGTATTCAAGGAATTGCTAGTTCGGAGCTAGTTTGCTGGGATGCCTTTGCTCATGTTGTTGTTGAACATCAAATTGTGCAGGGCATTCCTACGTACACTCCTCGCCTTGTGTCAATCGACTTGCAAGGTACTTCTATTTGTTGATAGATGATAGGTGGGAGAGCTAGTTTGTTTCTCGACTAGCTCTGGACAACTTGTTATCCTTCGGATCGACATTTAGTTGATTTACTAGTTGGAATTTCTTGAAATTGCAGGATCTCTTGGTTCTTTGAGTTCACGTGGCTCATTGTACAATGAAGAGGCATCATCTTCATCTGTTGTTCCCACGTGGTGCGTCTTCTAATACTTTACGTTGTGGAAGCTTCTGATACCTTTTTTTGGATTGTATGTTTGATTTAGCATGCTCTGCTATGGTGTTGAATGTTATAAATGTTTTGAATACTGAAGATGATATGCAGGAGTGGCAGTGTTTTCACTTCAACATCTGGAGTGCGTGAGAAGAACTTATTCTTGCAAAGTTTGTATGAAGAAGAGCATGACAGGCTAGGGAGCACTACTGGGAAAAGTGAGAGCCACAGAGAAATCAGCGATAAGGACATTGTGGAATCCTTAGAAAATGGTGTCCAGTTCTGGACAGATTTCTCAAAAACGCATTATCATCCCCAAAGCTTATATCAGTTGAGTGGATTGTGGGTGGATCCTATGGAGTTTGACAATTATGGTATTGGGAAAGATGTATTCTCCGAGAGTTCACGAGGAGACGAAATCAGTGAGAGGCTTAGGTTTTTCACGGAAGAGAGTGATCATATCCAGGTATTCTTAGCAGATTTTCTTTATTTACAACAATTTTCTTTCAACACTTCCTATATTTTGACCTGGTCTGCATTTTTGGTTGCTGTACTGGTCTGAAGCTGTTTGCTTCTTTCCTTTAGGGATTAGGCATTGGCGTGTATGATGAACATTCTGCTAATCCCTTAGTCTAGTAATGGAGAATTACCAAACTACCAACAGAATCAATAGCTTATCACTGTAGCTTCTGACATTGAGCAATACAGACTTCCACCCTCTGGTCTAACCGGTATTCTTTCGTATTTACAGGGTTTCCAATTCATCGCTGATGATTCAGGAGGGTTTTCCGCTCTCTCTGCCGACCTTTTGGAGAGCATTGTCGATGATTACCCGTCTACACCTGTTGTACTGTATACAGTTAGGGGCCCTGCCTATCAGGTTAACCCCAGAGACAGGAAGCGAACAGTTTCCAGTAATATTCATGATGCAATTTCCTTTTCAAGGCTATCATCCTTATCCAAACTGATCGTGCCTCTGGGTTTACCTTCGCTAAGTACAAGTAAGTGGAGAATGGTCTCATTAGTGTCCTTCAAATTCCTCTTCTTTTATGAATGTTAATGGTGTCGTACTAACATTTTATTTTCTTATACTTCTTTCTTCAAGGTAAAGCGTGCTCGTTTCTCCAAATCAAAGATGAGAAGCCTTACCATTCCAGTGCAGTTTATGCTGCTGCCATACACTCAATTGGCCTGCCCTTCAGAATGGATACACTTGGACCAACTGTCAGTTCTTCGTATGCTTCTGGTGCTTTGGATGTAAATGGCATGATACAAACTCTAGCTGGGCAAGCTAGACAAAATCAAGTTGCCATTCTTGACATTGCAATGCCTGCACCTACTTTATCCGGTACTTCCCTAAATACTTCTCTATCTTTGTCCTTTTTCTCGGCCGGTATTTTAATCATGTTTGGTTGTAAAGCAGGATCTTTTCTGCGGAATTTGGAGTCCTTGACTCCTGAGATATCAGAAGACGTCGAAGATGTGCATACCGTTGAATCCATGGTTGTTCATGGAGCACTGGGATCTGGTATGCTTTTGATTTTGGGTGTACTTGCTTAGCTTTTGCTCAAAAGAAAGTTGCTTGTTGTAAGTTTCAGTAAAGGTCAATAGAACTCTGCTCAAACTTTTCTTTATTTCTTCAGGTAGTCATAGAGCTTCAATTGCAGAAGTAACTGATGCAGTCAATGCCGAGTACGAGGCTGCATCAACACGACCGATTTTCTGCCACCTCTCAACTGCTCGATGCCCTCTTCCGATACCATTGCCGTTCCCTTCAATTTTCGGGAACCGTGTTGGCCAGAATGGAGAGCTCTTGAGCAACCCAGATCCACCATCCACTTCCTCTTCCTCTTCCAGGGGATCACTCGACGTCCATTCGATCCCCATTGCAGCTAGACTACGATCGAGCGCTGCCATCCTGCCGTTCTTGGAGAACAGATTGCAAAATCTTGGCAGACTAGGGATCAGGCTGGGAGCTCCAGCAAGCGAGTTGGTGAGAAGCTGGGGGTTTGGGAAGGATGAGCTGGAAGACATGGAACAAAGCTTGTCCAAGATGGTTGCGGCATTGGATCCTCGTTCGGAGTATTCGTCCGAGTCGGATTGAGTTTAGTTACTAACAACTATGTAACATTGGGATCTAAATACCTGTGGCTCTGATGCTTGTTAAATGAGAATTGATGGGGAAGAAAGATTTATTTGACACTAGTCTTGTAACATGAAGAACAAAGGAAGGTCTGGCTCCGAGAACATGGATTGGGCTTGCTAGCCCTGAGACGACAACATGATCTTCCACTTTTAGAAGCCCAATCGGTTCCCCAAACCAACTACTGATGGATCGGGCCAAAAGCCCAAAACGAACGAATTATACCTGTGATCCGTAAAAATTACGGTTATAAGTTGATAGATCATTTTGCAAATACCATGAATTTGGCCCGTTGAAAGATGAAAGTTTGTATTCGTGGAAGACTTTTCAACCTTAGCTTTGAAGAGAAATGATTGGGGTTTTTCCATGTATAGTTTTCATTCTACAATACATGGACAAAGTTATTAAATGGATTAAGATCATTTGGTTTACTTCTTATATGATGTGCACTTAATCATGAACACACGTAAAAGCTTAATCATTTTCGGTGAGTTTTCAACTCTCAGGGTTTAGTAACTTATAAAATTTTCGACTCTTATGGCGATTGATTATTGTCAAGCTCTTTATCGTTAAATGGTAAAAAGATTAAAAATCTTTTTAATCTTTACAAAGATGCAAAATCAACTGGAGGCATCCTTCTATCATTTCTTTGTTTTTTATGTATGAAAATCGATGTAACATTAAGTTTTACTATTCACTTTTCGCTCTTCATTTTACAAACAACAGTAACTATCCTAATTACAACTTATTTACTTTCTAATTTTTTTTATAAGGGCATATTAGAGCAAACCTTTCGGTCAAGACGGGCTATACCTATATTGATTTATTCAAATTCATTTGAATATCCGAATTACTGTGTATAAAATGCAAAAAGTAAAAAGACGGCGATTTACTTGATGGATGTCAAATTCGTGGAGTCCACTGATTCATCATTTTTAGATAAAATAACCACGGACCCCACGAACTTGTAAATCTCACACATTATGTTGGGTATTATGATATAAGGGCATAAATTTTTTGATGACACTGGATATTTGTGACAGATCTATCATAAATATATCATTAAATATGCGGTTCAAATAATGGACTCTTTAAATCCACAATTCAATTAATTCAAAGATTTTTTTCTCTAAAAGTGTGTAACCCTTTGGGAAGTGATTCTCTTAACCTAAGCAATTAAAACTTGTTGGTTGATTTTCTAAAATTGCAATGACATTGAGTACTCAAAATTGATGTCTTCACACAAGAGTTTGGTTCACTAGAATACTGAACAAAATTAATTTGATGCTTACACTGATCTATTTCCTAATTGTGTGACATTTCATGGATGGATTGAGGCTCTCATTGATTGATTGATGGGATTGGGGATCTGGGATGTTCCCCGTCACGCCCACCTCTTGATTTGACATCCAAATCCCTACCTTTAAACCCTAATCGCCCATACAATGACATATCAATATCATACATACAAATTTCATACAGACAAAGAACAGAAGGAATATTATGTAGTTTGAATGGAGATAATTATGAGATATTCGTAAAACCTGGTTCCCAATTTCTCCTGGAATTCCCAAATTAACACTCAATTGATTACAGTATTTAATTCCCAAAATCGAACCCAATTAGTCTTGAAATGAATTCTAATAAAACCAAGCAAACGTTACCCCTTCTCCCCAATCCCAAGAGTGATTTGCACCATAAAACACTGGAAAGATCCGTAGTTCATAAATAAGAACTGATCTTAACTGACAAAAAGCGTTTTTGAGGGGAAATGAAAGAGTTCTTGTTAGAACTCCAAAGTTAAACGTACTCACTGTGGAGCACGACAAGAATGCGTGATCTTATGGAATGTCACCTGGATATGCACCCAGGACAAATACCGCCGTGCGAGTCTAAATACAAAGCGGACGATATCTTTACTGTGAAAAAAGGTTTGGGATGTTATAATATTGTTAAAATTTGTTTTTTTTATTTTTTATAACACTCTGAATTCGAATTTCCCACTAAAATAATTGTACGTCAAGCTCGCCAAAAGAAAACATAGATCCAATTTTCAAGCATTGCTTCGTTTTCAGAGCTCCAACTTGCATGGCTCTCAAATAAACAGATTGAGGTTTTCAGAGCTGCGATCCTTTTTTGCCCGCTCTCTCTTTCCGAATTTATGCCTTCTCATGAAGGCAAATGCATCGGTCTCACTAGCTAGTGCGTGTATTTATATTTTTGAGAAATGTGTTGTAATTATTTTAATAATCAAACTGCTTTGAAGTAGATTAAGGGCTGAAACCTAGGCAATAAATTGAAAATCCTGCAGGCTTAATCTAATTGTATTATACAACTCTTACCTCAGCCCTCAGATTGCTTGCATGGGGATAAGGTAATAATATCAGCAATTCGTTTTTAATTTTTTACAGCAAGCAGCAATAGATTATTAAACTATGCTGCAGTCGTAAATAATCATTGCAATGACCGTGTTTGATTTGATGTAAGTGTATTAATTTGTTCTTATGTTCTAATTTATGCATCGTTGATTTTATTTGTTATCGTATAAGGTGGATCGATCTCTAAGATGACAAGTAGTGTTTAAGTTAAGCGTAGCTACTTGAGGAAATCGTTATGGAAAATATGAGAGAAAACATGTGCGCGAGTCATTTAAAGTGTAGTCATTTCAATTCGTCTTACTCTTTACAAGCGAGATCACATCATTTTTGTCATTTTGATTTTTTAAGTTTTTAACTGTGTACTCAGCAATGCACATATGTACGGTTACGTATGAGTGAATATTGATGCGTTTCTCTGCGATTACTACTAAATCAATGCAAATTTTGTCGAGTATTACTAAGTCATTACACCGTGTTTTTAACTAAAACATAAGGATTGCAAACCCTATAACACACAACCTTCCTCAATCGGACAACTACGTACTATTCTCAACCGAGCCTTTCTTATAACCATCTAGACATACTATAATTGGTTTCGTAAAAATAATGAAAAATACTATAATTGGTATCTTGTTGAGTAACTAAATTGAGCAACGAAATGATCAACAACATACATATATATAATATCCTCTGCCGACATACATTTACGATTTACCATTGAGAGTTGACTCACCAAATTTAACAACTCATCCTCGTAAGTTACCATTGGGTTGACTCACCCTAATTAAATAATGAAACCATCAACAACTGTCATTAACCTAATCGTTTTATCTTAATTTCTGAGCCCCAAACTTCACATACCTCCATCCATTCAACAACCATCAATATAGACACTTTGTAACATGGAGAAACTAAAAAAAGTTACTAAAATTTCAGTAATTTGCCAGCTGCATTCTTGTATTTCTTCTCTGCACAAAACAAGAACAGTAGAAAAGAAAAAAAAAGGCTGTCTGTAGCTAGTTAACTAATTACTACCAACAGGCTGTATATACTTGATCATCAAATGCCATTCACTTAATCCCATCAGAATGCTGAATTGAGAGGTAGGTTCTTCAATGGGGAAATCTTCACATCTCTCTCTCTCTCTCTCTCTCTCTCTCTCTCTCTCTCTCTCTCTATCTATCTATCTAACTGTAGCTTTGCTCTAGGTCAACTGTCTCTTACACCTTGTCCACTGCAAGAAAAGAGCAACAAATGAGAAAAAAAAGAGAAGAAACATCGACAGCAATAAAGTTCAAGGGTACATATAATCAAAGATCATTTTCTTCATTAGGTAGTTGAATCAGATGCATAAATCCAGCACCCTCTTAAGTCAGTCAAGATCCTGCCTTTTTTTCTTTTTATGGACAGTCAAGATCATGGGTTTTTCTAATTGAATAATTACAACAACCACCCACAAAAATGAATCCTCTCTATAAATGTTCCTATGCTATCAATTGCAGGAGGTAAAAATTGCTCACAAGTAGGGCAATGTCAAGAATATTGGAGATTGTATCCAGATTTTGCATATGGCAGACTAAGCATATAAGATAGAGAGATAGAGATAGAACCTAACCAATAGTACTACTGGAAAGGGAGAAAATAAGAAACCCCCGTTCATGAAAGTGACTGAAGAAGATTTGTGTAAGGAAGAGTGGAAAAGCATATTCCCCTCACTACAGAAAAGACAATGACAATTAACTCTCCTACCAACTCCTCCTTCCTTTATGCAGCATGGAATAATGCTGCCTTTCCACTTCCCTCTACCTATACTCCCCTCCATTCATGAATAAATGGCAGCTAGGCTATCTTCCCTTCATTAATGTCAACTTTTCTGTGTGTGTGTGTGTGTGTATGTTGGGAGACAGAAAGAAAGAAAGGCGAGAGTCATACTCACCAAGAAACAGAAACTCTGCACACATCTCTCTGTCACACTATATCTCAGCCAAACAAAGAAAGGTAAAGTGTCTCTGAAAGTTCTTCATCATCAAGCTGACGGACCTATGCTCCTTCCCCTCTCCTCGCTCCCTGCAGACCTCTCCTGCTGCTGCTCTTCCTGCAGATGCTGCTGCTGCTGCTGAAGAAACAGCTGTGGCTTAAGCTCCACCACCGCCTGCTGCTGCCCTTGGTACGCGCTAGTACCATGACCAATGTTCCCAAGAGCAAGCGATGCTGATGGCACACCATTGAACCCAGTCGCCGTAACGCCACCGCCATCCATCAACCCGATCGCCTCCTGCTGCTGAAACTGCCTCTGCTGCTGCTGTTCATTATAAGCCCTCAACATCTCCTGTTGCTGGGCAGCCTCGTACATCTGCTGCATTTGGAGCCGGTGATGAAATTGTTGCTGCTGCTGAAGTTGGGTATTTTCTCGGATCATAACGGGTAAACCCGACCCGGTCGGAATACCCATCATCGGGTAACTGATCTGCTGCTGCGGCGGCGGCGGCAGCATCAAGAGGCCTGAAGCAGAGGGGTTTCCGGGGTAATTTGGGGCGGCGAAATCGGAGGAAGTAGGGAGCAGGGCGTGAGGGCCGATGTACTTGGCGAGCTCCTGCCGGGCGAGGTGGAGGTCCAATTGGAGCTGCTTGAGGCGGTGCTGGAGCTTGGAGATGAAGCCGACGCAGCCGTAGACCGGGTCGTTGAGCCGGGCCTCCGCCTCGTAGGCGAGGGAGTTGACGGCGTCGTCTCGCTGCGCGGCGGGGATCTCGTTGAGCAGCTTGGCGACGTTGCTGGCGCCGAAGACGCGGTGGACGCTGGCGAACTTCGCCGGCTGGTCGGGCGGGAAGTAAGGGGCGAAGACGCACTCCGGCGTGCACTTCCGCCGCAGGAACTTGCACGCCGCACACGGCGAGCTCTGCGACGACGACATCTTTTTCTCTCTCTCTCTCTCTTCCTCCCTCTCCCTGGAAACAAAAAAAAAAAAACGATCGATTGAAGACGGGAACAGAAATAATCAAAGATTAGATGCAGCATTGGGATGGGAGAGAGTTAAAGCTGGATTTAGAGAGAAGCTTCCATGGCGGTTTCCAAGAAAATCCCCAACTGATTGATTGGGAGATTTTTTTTTCCTTTTTTTTTTTAATTGGAAACGAAAGGAAAGCTTCTCCGTGATTTGATTACAAACTTTCCGAATTTCAATTAAACCTAAAAAGGAAAGTCGGAGATAGATAGAGAAAGTTACCTTTCGATCGTTCCCGTCGGCGAGTGAATGCGGCGTGAAGAGCTAGTCAAGATATCTCTGCTCGTTCTCTCCGCCGCCGCCGGCGGCGGCGATCGCACGTACGTACGTCGGGGGAAAAAGGAACTGTTGGAGAGACGATCGATCGATGTGTCTACGGCGGCGTTTCTCGATTGCTAGACTAGTACTACTGCTGCTACGATGCTAGGGACTGTACTGCTTCGCCATGAACGTCGAGAAAGAAAAGGAGAGAGAGAGAGAGAGATTCTTATTTGGGAGGGGTTTGATTTTCCTTTTCTTTTTTCTCTCTCACTTTCTCTCTCAGGAAACAAACAGCGGCGAAGAGAGAGAGAGAGAGATCTGTGGCGGTGAAAAAGAAAGGAAGAAGGGACTACGTGCGCGAGAGAGGCCGTCGTCAGGCGTAAAGGGAACAGAATAGGAAGAAGATTAGAAGAAAGAGAGTATAAATAAATATGCCAATTGACAATTAATTAATTGATTAATTTCGTTTAAAACTATTAATCGATTCTGGCGTAAGGAATTGTGCATTGTTTTTAGTATTGTAATTCAAAATGCTGGATTTCTTGACAACACATAAAGTTTCCCAGTTTTACACCAAAATCCCCATTTCTTGCACGTCAAGTTATCCTAACAAATCTTGTTTAGCGCTATTGGCTATAATAATTGCAACATAAATAGGTTTCCCCATTGATTTGAGAAATATTGGACTGTCTTTCTATACGAAAACCAAACTAATCAAGTAATCATACATTCTTTTTACGTTACGATTATTGTTGACGTCCAAGTTGTTGAACCTGCAGTAAACAACAGACTTTCAATCCGACGATCCCAATTTTTTTTTTTTGAATCGTAACTCCTCTGATCACGATTGATGTTCATCCGCTACTCGTAACGACCTAATGTCTTATTTTCCCGGTTACTAGTAACCTCGAGTTCTGACAACGACTCACAAAAGCACGACTTCGAGTTCTCCATTAATTAGCAGAGAGAAGGACCTAAGCTCCTACCTTCATCACTCCCCGGACTCTGCTGCTGCTGATGATAATTATTATTCGCATCCGGCTGTTCCTGCTGCTCCAGTTGAAAGAACAGTTGTTCCTGAGCAGGAATCTCCACTTGAGACTGATGATGATGATGATGATGGTTTTGGCCGTGTTCATAACTCCCTCGTCCATCCATGCTTCCAAGGGCCAAACACGGCTCGACATCCCCACCAACACCGCTAATCTCGTTGTCAAACCCATCGTGAATCGAATTATCCCCAACATGATGATGATGATGATGATGATCTTCACTAATCACACCACTCCCGAACCCAATCACTTCTTGATCATGATTGATATGATGATGATGACGTTGTTGGTTTTGCTCGTACGCCCTGAACATCTCCTGCTGCTCTCTCGCCGCGAGCTCCGTCGCCAGCAGCTGTGCCTCGTAGATCTGCTGAGCGCTGTTGTTGTTGTTGTTGCTGCTGCTGCTCTGCTGCTGCTGCTGCTGGTGATGAGCCGCGGGAATTCCCACCATGTGTATCATGTTGTTGTTGTTTTGTGGGAAAGCAGAGTTGTTGTGGTTGTTGTTGGTGGTGTTTGGGATGAGAGCAGGGAAGTGATGGGCCTGAGGGCCCATGTACTTGACGAGCTCCTGCTTCGCGGCGTCGAGATCCATGTGGAGCTGTTTCAGGCGGTGCTGGAGGATGGAGATCTGGCCCAGGCAGCCGTAGACCGGGTCCTTGAGCCGGGCGTCGGCCTCGTAGGCCAGGGAGTTGACGGCCTCCTCGCGGTGCGTGGCCGGGAGCTCGCTCAGCAGCTTGGCCACGTTGCTGGCGCCGAACACCTTGTGGATGTTGGCGAATTTCTGCGGCTGGTCGGGCGGGAAGTGCGGGGCGAAGATGCACTCCTGCGTGCATTTCCGCCTCTGCAGCTTGCACGCCGCGCACGGCTGCTGCGAGTGCGACATCGATCGATGATCACCTGCGAGAAATTGAATTTTCTGTGAGACATTTCCACGAACAGTTGGAATGCAAAATCGAATGAACGGATGATGTATTGATGGAAATGAACAGCGATGTAGAGAGAGAGATTCGATTGATATAATTGTGATTTGATCTGTGTCGATGTTTTTACCTGGTAATGGATAGAAAGGCGGTGTCTGTAATCAATCGGGGGCATCATTCGTCGTGGTTCAGATTGTAGAAGAAGAGGGTGCGAGGATGGAGATGAGATCCATTTTCCCGATTGAAACGCGAGGATGCAAGAATGGGGAATTCACTTTTTTGTTTTCTGTGTGTGTGTGTTTTTTTTACTCGTTCAGTTTGTTGTTGAGGATTATGACAGAGAAATTCGGTTTTGTTTTGTTTTTCAATTATACAATAAATTTTTTGAGTGAGATGAGTTTTTGCATGGGTAAGGAAATGGACATTTCATTTAGTATATTCAATTCTTGTGAGAATTTGAGCATAGTTTTCGCTGGTTTGACTGATTTGTTTAGCATGTAGACTTTTGTGTGTTGCTAATCATACCATCATATTATTCTTTACAAAATTTATTGTTTGATGAAATTCTCAAGCTACTCATCAAAGTTCACAATGCTTTATACTTTTTTATCAAAATTATTAATAACATGGAATTGCTATTTCTTGAAAAAATTTAGTATTATTTATAACCATTAATATCTATTTCGTTTCGGGAACTTTGATTGTTAATCTCATACAGGTTACGAGTCAAACTCAGATTGTCAAATTTTTTTTTAGGGGTTCTCACCGGATCTCTTCCCGTTTTTATAAATTCGGAACCATACACATAATGGGTGTCACAAATTTTAATACGATCACAATGTACTTTGTCTATCTTCTCAACCATTAATCATATTACCAAATTTGGAAAGCAACTTTGCCAATAAAAATTAGGAATGCAACTAGTACTTTTTTTTATGGGTGCGTTTGGATAAGTGTATTTTAAATGTAAGGTATTTGAAATACTAGCATTTGAAATGGATGTATTTGAAGTATTAGCTTTTGAAATACATGTAATTCAAATTCATTGTTTGGATACTCATTTGTAATTTGTTTGTATTTTTGTATTTATGATTTTCAATTTCAATTTTTAATTTTCAGGTCACTTACTACAAATTTTGGTAAATTACAGTTTGGTACCCAAAATTATTTTTTCTTACAATTTAGTACCTAAACTTTTAAAATTTTACAAAAAGGTCCTGAAATTTTGATGGTAAAATTACATTTTGGTACCTTTATATGTTTTGCCTCACACTATAGTACCTAAACTTTTCATATTTTACAAATAGGTCCATTCTTTTGTTAGGAGGTATTTCAAATCACTAGTTGTTGAAATGTATTTGAAATTGACAAAAAATACACTAGACATGTATTTGGAAATCACCCCATGAATTTGACAGAAATCCAAATACCAAATGTAATTAATATCCAAACACATGATTTGGTATTTGAAAATCCAAATCACAAATACCAAATCCAAATCCTTGTATCCAAACGCACCCTATAGGAAATCAAATAATTCTATTAAGATCAAAAGTAAACTCAGCATCAGGAGATCCTGCTTAAAAAAAAATCCAAATTGAACCTAATTATAGTGATCATAATTGATGAATAATCAACATAATCCATCGAACCTAAATATTGTCAAACTCCAAACAACCATACTGTGATTTAAAACCCAAACTATTGATCTAAAAAAAGATACCATCAGAACTCTCGTGACGCGACACGATAACTCAGATCCGGTATCGAAATATTCCTCTAACATATCATACCACTTATATCCACAAAATTATCCGGATCATCCTAATGACGAAATCATCCTACAACAAAATTCAAGTAAAAGTCTCGGTAGTATTGACTATCGAATGCAAATTGAAGGTAAACTAAATATACTTCATCAAATTTGGCGCTTCAATTCACCTCCTCCTTCTTAACTCCTTGCTGCTGCTGCTTTCCTTCGCGCGATCTCTCCTTCGCCTCCGCCGCCGCCTTTTCTGCGAGAACGTACCACGACGGTAGGCGCAACGTCGGCGACAGCGGCGGCGAATTGTAATTGGGAATCATCACGATTTCGAAATCCGCAGCATCCGGAGGAACTTCGGCAGCTGCAACTGGTTTCGGCTTTGTTCGGACGGCGGCGGGGATTTTGCCTTGGATGAGCGGTGGCGGCGTAGGGAAATTCGTTCTCCTGGCCATCGGGACTAGAGGAAATTGGAATCTCCTGGCCATCGGCGATCAAAGGCGGTAGCTCTCTATTCGTTAATAAGAAGAATCTAGCTACTTAATTAGCACTTCTCCCAATTCGACTCGATCTCCTCTTATGGTGCTTTTAGTCTAACTTGAATTCTAGTCGTTTGTTAATTGTCAGCCTCTATTACGCACAAATATATTTTAAATTAAAAAACTGATAAGAGTTACAAAGTTAAAATTACATGGGTTATTAAAAGTGACTAGTGTGAGTTGTAGTTGGTTAGAACTTATAATCCGTTCAGTATCCATTTAGCACTCACGCCGTCTTTGTCGTTTTGTTGATTTGCTACGTCGCGTTCCTGAATGAGCAATGAATAATATAATTTAGTGGCTTTATGTGTTTTCCACATTTTCAAGTTTTTCAAAATATTATGTGATATCTAGCTGAAAACTAAAATGTACTATTTAGTTTTAAAGACTTGTAATACATTTGATAAAAACAGACTTGTAATACATGTTTTGAAAATGAATACAACTTAATGTTGGATGATGAGAAGATGGAATACATGAGTTTGTGATTATGTTTGGAAAGATGTAGAATGGAAAACATATTAACAAAAACTAAGGTTCATTAACGTGAGTATCTCACTAATGAAACAATCTAACTTGGAGAGAATAATAACAAGAAGAAAAAACAACAACGAGTTATTTATTTATTTATTCAAATATCTGTATAATTATGTTAATGAGTTTACATATTTTTTTATACTCAAAGGATACTCCTATCTAATCCCTTATAGTTATAGGTATCCAACTGAAATTGAGAGATTAAGAAAATAGACTGGAGTATTTGAAAAAGGAGACCCTTAGAGCAGGGGAAAAACATGTTCCTAGGAAACTCTCCCTAACTCCTAATATGCCCGAGGCATGATTAGGGTTACAACATCTATGCTAGGTGTTACGATTACCCGAGTCCGTATCTCGAAAAGTTGCAAGAAGGTGAAAACCCTAAGGAGAACTAGAGTGTGTCTTATAGGATACACTAACAATTAGACTATGGAGAGGAAACAAAATCCAATCGATTACCTTACGATACATGAGACCTACTATTTCGAATAAAACCTCTGCAAAAAACAACAAATAGGCGAGAGCTTGTATTTGGATGAGTTATTTGGGATCAAATAACTCACAATGAGTTATTTGAACGCAAATAACTCGTTTGGCAGCGTTTTACTGAAATGAGTTATTTGGACAGTGAGTTATTTACAAATAACTCAAAACGAGTTATTTGAAATAACTTATACTCATGTGTTATTTCGAAATAACTCGTTTTATCACTCTGCTTTTACCAAGTACCACATGTCAAATACCACGTTTCCATGGTTCAACCAAACGAGATACTTTATTTCAATTACCACTAAAATAACACTGAAATACCACATGAGCAATAAATGAGTTATTTGACTCTACAAATACCACATTGACAATTAACCCATCCAAACGACCCCTTAAATCTGTGCAGTGACCGAGGAAACAAGACGTATTGATGTTTGAGGTAGTGTTGGTGAGGATGTATCGACCGGTCCGATTTGAAAACCTCCTATTGTAGTCTAAGCTGGTAGGTAGAAAAATTGTGTCCATCATGAGAAGAAAAATCATATCACAAAGCAATCTAACAACTCAAAATGCTTGAGCATTACATATTAAAATGGATCAAGCCACGGACAAGTAAAAAGTCATGTTGACTTCAGCACAGATCGTATATAGCCCGCCATGGCTGCTGCACATCTATGAACACTCCCACTGCAGCTGTACTGTAGCACTGGCCTCAGAAGGAGGTTACAACTGAGACCTGAAATCAATCCTAAAGTTCCAAGGCAAAGTGTACTACCACAACAATCAAACGTGAACCCTAAAAAAGATTCAAGTAAATGTTTCCGATGCAATCTGTGCACTTCTCAATTTGAACTCCGATGCAATTCAAGACTTGCTGCCCTGTTTCCGGTGACTTCGGCGCCGTCTCAAGACAGAATCAAAATTTGGGATCATCTCGTTTCCATCGCCGGAAGCTGCCTCTTGCTCGTTCTCTAGCTTTCGATGCTCTGTTTCCACGGCGGTGCGTTGGATCTGAAACCGCTGATGAATTCATCTTCGTAAGGCCGCCGCTACCCTGTTGCTCTGCTTCTTCGGGCTTCTCTGCTTTCGGGCCGGTGTCCGCGCTGTCTCCGGCCGTGCTTCCTCCTGTCAAATACGACGGCGGTAGGCGTAAGTTGGGCGAGAACACTGCCTTTTGATGCTCTGTTTCCGATGTGGGGATTTGAAGTTCGCTGATGACCGACGGTGGATCTGAAACCGCTGGTGAATTCATCTTCGTAAGGCCGCTGTCACCCGGGCTGGGATCAGATGACTAAGGGGACCACATGACTAAGTGAATCTTAGCCATACAAGCTCATTAAAATCCAAGGGCTCCTATTAATCCAATTTAATAAAGGGCAATGTAGTAATTGCATGTTTATATTTACTTTTAAGGGTTAATAGCATTTTATACCCTTCTACTATTGCAAGTTAATAAATGTACCCCTTTATTATTATTTTGCACAAAAATACCCTCTTATTATTGTAACGTAACAAATTTAGTCTTCCATCCCATTTTCCGTTATTTGACAGTTAAAACACATATCAAATGACATGATTGCCCTTTCTTGTATATTAACTAATTTCCATAAAAAAATTAAATTAATTAATTAATTTTAATCATTTTTTTGTTTATCTTCCCTTCTCCGTCGCCAAATATCATCACCCTATAGAGTACAAACTCGGTGGCTCATACTCTTCCTCTCATATGCCCCCGACGCCGCACTTGATGGAATCTGAATCCGATTCAGAAGCTGGCAACTCTCACCTCTCGCTTGACGAGTTTAAACTCGATCCGCCGCCGCCTGATTCCTGAACGACGGTTCTAGCCCCGAGACCTAACAAAAAAAAAGTATATCAATCTGATTCGAGTTTAACCTCCTCACTACCAGTTAAATCGCGGAAGTGTCGTAGTGGTAGCGAAGGCAACTTCTTCGATTATTTAGACCATGTCAAGGGATCTGATTTTGGTACGATCTACGGAAAGGGGAAGAAGAAACCAATCGCCGCCATCAGCTTA